TCCTCCTACAAATCCTTTCAAATTATCATAATGTTCAATTATAGATTTATTTCCTTGCTGGGTATTAAGCATGTGCTCAAAAACTTCATAAATTCAAGACACATTACATTCTTGAGAGTACATTTCCTCAAGAAAGTGTGACGCCCCTAAAACCGGAGGTCCTTTGTTAATCCGTTGATCACCCATCAACCCGCAAAAATAGTCGTGAATGCTGCATAACCCGACACCACGGTACAACATTCCCTTTTACCGAGATCACAGCCAACACATAGTTTGGAAAGAGTCTCCCTTATACTAGACACTCCTAAATGCATAACATGTACACATTTCAATCACATGACTCATCCGATGTCCAATATACATTAATTTACTCTTAATATAATACAATTTACCACTTGAAGTAAAAGGACTCAAGGCCCGAGCAAAATATTTTAAATTTTGAGATTTGAGGAAAACCTAGAGGTAGAAGATGTCCATGTTCTACCGGTAGGTTTCTTATCATTCTATTGGTATTATGGAAATACAGTTCATACGAGTTCTTTTACAATTCTTTGCATAATATTACAAGCCCAAAAACGAAATTACGTCTTAGTTTTACAAAATATGATTTAAAAGTCATATTTCGGCTTTTCTTCAACAATAAGGGCCAGAGTGAAAGTTGTCCACTGACGCATGTCCCGCACATAAAATGTTGTCCCCAAAAATGATGAATCACGCTCAATAAGGTATCTCCTAAAGAGGCTACTTCTCAACCTAGATGCATATAAAATGTTCACATGTAAATCACAAGCAATAATTACTTCATTCAAGAATATGCAATTCAATAATGGAATCTTCTATATCGTGTCATGATATGAGGTGAGACTCACACATGCAACTCAACCTAAACCTTTACCGGCTCCCATAACTCATGCGTATGAATCCGAGCATTCCAAGCCATCGCCATTGATGTTACACATTCAATGACTTTTTTAAAATAAATCATGTGTCTTTGTTGGGTAGCTGGATTTTGGTGTCTCACCGCCGATTCCGCACACCGATACATTTTTTTAGACTTTCACCTGCGAATGTGTATAAACCAGTAACCGGGTCTTGCACCCGAGAGAGAATCTAGCCCTGTTTGCTATATCTGACACAAATTTTTTATGTAACTGTGCAACTTAGCCGGACCTAGGTCCAATCTTCCCGAGTTCATGCCTCAACCACCAAGAATGGTGTTTGATTAAAAAATATGCACACATACCCACACTAATGTTAAATGTCAACGAATATGATGCTACCCATGCATATGCAATGTAAATGTACAATTGTAATTCTCAACCATGTTCAATAAGTCATGAGCACATTATGAACATTTCAATATCATCAACAACCTCAATATCAATATATCATATGCATATACTAACATCTACCAACATCAAATCTCAAGCATGTTATTACATAATCAATACAAATAACACACTTAATCCACATTGGCATTTAATCAAACACCTTCAAGGCAAGAAAATCATGTATCACATAACATGCCCCAAATCATCACATTTCTCAAGAAATCACAACAAGCAATTTCTTCATACTCAATTCATGTTAGAATTAATTTTAACCATTCTTAATACCCATTTCTCATATTTAAAATACCATAGGTATGTGTTATACATGAGATTATATCTCTAACACTCTATCCATTTCATATATCAACCCTAGGCTGGAAATAAACTTAATTAGGAAAGAAACCTTACCTCTTGAAGTGTAAAACATGTGGTAGAAGCCTTCAAGAACCCAAATCAAGCCTTAGTTCTTGATTTCTCCAAATCCTGTCTTTTGAACTTCGTCAAAATTTGTGCTTTTTGGTATGGTTTTGTAGCACTCGTCGTGTAAAACAACCTTTGTTTTTGGCCCGAGTCGATTCGACAAACGTAGAGTCGTAGATCGTAGAAAGAAGTTGAGAATCCTCTATTTTTCCCTCTCTTCCTCTTCAACGGTTAAACTCAGCTGAACAATAGGGGAAAAATCTGATTTTCTCCCATATTTATACTTCGAGGACACTTGGCCCACGTTGCGCCACACTTTCTCCTTTCTCAGGTCCAGTTTTGTCCCTAATCAATTAAATTTTGTCTTGATTCAAGTTTAAAATATTTTTATTTGAACTAAATTTAAATGATTTTTTAATTTTTTAAATTTAATTTCCGATCTTATTTATTTAGGTCACGCGATACCCGATCGCCTCGTAAGACGCAAAAAATTGACTGTCTTAAAATTTAACGAAAATTGACTAAATAACTAGATTTCAAGAGACGAATCTAATGGTGAGGTCCATTTCGTTATTTGAGTTTTAAAAAATTTGGGTTTTCAACCCTTACTGTGATGACAAATTACCATTTTATCATTTTTCATAAAAATTTAAATTTATCCGGGTTTTATAGAAAGTCTCATATCTTCTTAGTTGTATCAAGAAACTGAACATTAGAACTAACAACAGGCTCCATACTAATCCATAACCAAGTTATCACTAATGAATTTTCACTCCACCAATCTTCCAAAATCTTAAAGTCCTTATGAAGAGAACTCTCAGTTAAATACTAAACTTTTCTTTTGACATGCAAGAAATCCTTAATGACATGGGTCCATAATTGTGTCCATGGAATGAACCTGTTTAACCTGGTCATCAGCAGAAGTATACATGACATCCTCCGAAGTTGCCATAGTAAAACCCCAAATCAATTAGGGGATAATTGAGAATAAGGAACCAATAATTCTCAACAACAACAATCACACAAAATAACCACAATAAAGTCAAGGAATTTTCCAAAAAAAAATCACTTTGATATGCAAGTCATAACAACATCACACAACCAAACCTCAAAAGAGCAATATAAAGGCCAAGAAACACTAAAAACAATTGCGGGATGGACAGATCAAGAATAGAGGTAGTGTCGTAGGCCAAAATAGAATAGAACTGTAACAATTTGGAGCAGATTAACACACACAGATCAAACTAGTGCTATCAAAAAATACATGTTGGATGATCATAGCTGGAGCAAATCGCACATGTATGGAGCAAGTAAAACCCAGTCGTAGGCCAAACATAGGCATCATCGGCACTCAATTTTTTTGAAAAACACATCCAAATCAACCAAAGAAGGCACCCCTGGAACCAAATCCAAGCAACAATCCAGCCAAAAAAGTCCCAAAACAACAGATCTAGAAAATACACCCTAATTTGCTGAAAAATATTCAAAAATAAGAAACCATAAAATATTGGAATTGATATTGCGTTTTTCATGATCGATCATGGGTATTTGTGATCGATTATGACTTCCCTTCAGCCGTTGTAACTCTTCTTTTCAAAATTATAATTTTACGATATAGAAAATAATAACCGATGGTACCATACAAAAAAAAAATTTTGGGGGGTCATAGAGTTTCCCCCGGATGTTAGTACACCTACACAACTCAGTTTTGTAATTTTGCAATATCTTTGACTATGTCCATTATTAAATAACAGCTTATCATGTCCATTTTTTCTCATTGATTCGGCCCATGTTAATTTTTTTGGCCTTCCTCTGGCCATAGTGACGTCTTCAAGACTGTTCAACTAAATCACGAGTTTAGTAGTCCAGTGGGAAGATACCATCCCGTAAGAATCGTCCTGCTAATGATTACTTGAGTTCAATTCACAGAAAGTAGATTGCCAATTTGCTTCTAATGACTTGGTGGAATTAAGGTCAAGTTATGACTCTAATTGTTCCTTGTTAGATCATTGAACTGCCAAAAAGAGGTCTTTTGCTAGCAGTGATATTATATGGTTGTAGATCCATGATTCCCCTATTTTCCCAAGTAAATTTTGACATCTACTCCCAAGTTTTGTGGTATTGAAAAGGCTGGGTGAATGGGGCATCTGGCACATAGCAACAATTCATGGTAGATGAGATTTGAGTGTTGGGATGTGGGGGAGTTGGGGAAGTAAGTTTGGGACTTGGGAGTTTGAGCTAGGACTTTCAGAGTTTGAGTTGGAGTTGGAGTTGATTCTGTTATTGTGTATTTGGTGGTTTGATATTAGAATTTTTTAGCTATACCCAGAATTCTAATAATAAAATATATTTGTACGATTCGATAGTTTTGTTGACATTTGTGCCAAGAAAAACAATTTTGTGACAAAGGCAAAAACATGTTTGACTACTAACATATTATTTCACAAAAATTGTTTATATGCATCAGAGTACATAAATAATATACTTATATACGTGCGAATATGTATTATAAATGCAATTGCCAAAAGAGGGACAGTAATCTTTTACACTACTGCTTATACTACTTAACACAAGCCCAAAAAATAATAGTATTAGTTAACAAGAACTATAAATGGGACGTTATAGCTTCAAATAGAATAACTCAATTTTGACACCATAGTGGTGTTTTATTGGTAATGTTTGAAGAAAACATTTAGTTTTGCTTTTGTTATTTCTTGGTTTAGCATACCAATTTGCATAGTTAAACAAATGTTGGTTTTCCGCGAACCAATATGCGGTGGATTTGGTTAATAGAGAAAAACTTCATAATCATGCACTATCAATCCAATGACACTGATTCATTAAGGTCCGTAAATTAAGTTAATGTAACATTGTTTAATAATCACAATTTATTCAGACATACAACTATCTTACCAGTAACCCCAATCTTATTCGAGGAAGAAAATATACAATATAAAAGGGGGGAAAGATTCAAAAACACCATTTCATATAACCAACAATGTATGTTTCAATTTCCCTTTTTTTCCCATCACTCCATTAGTCTTATGCAATTGCACTGAATAACAATATTGTCCTCAGAATCACAATTGTTTGACATTAAAGCTGCTTCAGTTTCTTGAGGACAAAAAAATCTTTTATTCTGCTAAAACTACTACCAAAGTCTGCTCTTTTCAACCTTCTAATTGCATGAACCCAAGTACCACTTCCAACCATGTGGTATGCTTTATCCCTAACCCTGTTTCAAATTCTTTAGAGGTTTGTCTTTGGTTTACTAGCAGCGATACGCCTTGTCACTGACCTCATTGTCACAAATTCTTCTGCAGCAGAAGGGTGAATACCCACCTGGGATAGAAGTAAAAATTATTCAGCAACACAACACAATAAAACAAGAGAAATTACTGAGGAAGGTACGAAAATAAGTTAAAGATTGTTACACACACTTCTTCTCCCAGTAAGTTTGGAGTAGTCTACGATACAATAATAAGCACAATAAAGAGATGATTACAAATGAAACTGGAAGAACTGATTTCAAACTAATTTATACTCTGGCATCCTAAATATATGAGGTAGCATTCCTCCAATGGAAACATATAAAGAGTAGCCTGACTTCATCTGAACATACAGACCACTAATAGGGAGTGGGAAAAACATTTGTCACAACCCCTTTTGTATAGCAGAACTCCAAACAACATTTGTAGCAGTCAGCAACCATAAAGCTGCTGTGATGCTATGTACAAACTCTTACATGGGTAGTTGAAATATCGAAGATAAAAGCTAGTGATATGAGCTATCAAGGCTATATAGTTCTGGTGAGTCGAGTCCAGCTTACCGTGCTATCAAATTGTGCTTTGGTTGCTCCACACTTGAGTGCAATGCCAATACCCTGTTAAAGACATCCCCGATACAATAAGGTAATGTATATAAAAACACCAAAAATTGATACTCCACACCCAAGTTAGCAGCAACAAGCTATCAAAAAATGGTGGTCCTCATTACCAATGGTTGAGCAGTGAGCATACAGTAACCATAACCTGGCTAGTTTTACTTGATCCATCAATGGCATGAATTTTATAGCAGAATGTGAGTTTTATCAAACAACTACACAATTGTTTGTAGGCCTCTTTCAATGACATTTCAACTGTCATTATTTTTCTAAACAATGTGGTAAGATTGTTTAGTTTATAAAATAATTTTCTAATCAGATGTTATTTTTATTTTTTATTTTTTTTGAGAGGGGAGGGGGAGGGGCTTCAACCCTTTAATTGAGAACTATATCTCTATAACAAGTGGTTAAATTGATTATAGACGATCTCTTTCTTTTTCTTCTTTATGTCTCTTTCCAATGTTTCCCACAGAACAAAGGCTTTTGTTTTTCAAATTTTAATTTAAACCATCAAAAAATCACTGCACATGAACCCTGAAACCTTAGATTTCACAGACAAAAATTTGCTTTACATGTAGGGACTGGATAAAATTGATCCATAGGGTTAAACAAAGATTCAGAAGATCTCCCTATGTATGTATGAGAGCTTATGATAACTTTCTCTAGAGGCCAGAACATTCATCCGGAAGTCGTAGGAACTAGAAAACCAATTAAGTGAACCACATGCCCAATATGTTCAATTATCTTTCTGATTTTTCAGAAAGTTGAGAGCTATAATCTGTAGAATCATTTTGAATGACTGATGTAAAAACAACCCAGTGTAACATTATAGAGGAAACCATTAATGCAAACCTAGAATTAGCTGAATCAATGACTGATGTAGAAACAATCCAGTTTAACATTATAGAGGAAACCATTAATGCAAAAACCTAGATTTAAGTGAATCAATAAACCTTATACAAGAATGTATAGTGCAAGAAACGATACCTGCATAATCTCAGCTGCATCTGGCCCACACATGGATGCACCAAGAACTTTATCCGTTTCAGCATCAACAATAAGCTTCATACCCGTCTTCTCTTGCCGTCTATAGGCACAATATAAAATTTCACACAATATTTGACTGATTAGACATGCTTAAAGATGTTCTACCAATCTACGGAAACTGCATGTGTTAATCAGGCTAGCAAATGATTGACAAAAGCGTACAACAATTGTCAATATGTTTTCAAGAGAAACCAGCTCATGCATAAAACTCAACCAAAATGCTCTAATATGCTGATATATATAGCTCTAAATCATTATAACCATCATCTGCCTGTTGTAGCTTAAGCATAGTCTACATGTCTGGCAACTTTCTATAGTAATTTATTCTCCCAAGCAACCAGGTAAAGAAATTTTAGAATCCATGATTTTATGTTTCATTTCTAAACTAGGAAAATAAGATTGATGCCCAATCACATACCCTGAAATGGTGTTCTTCATAGGATTAAATGTTGATGTAAAAACCAAGATATCACCCTTTGCTTGCGCTATAGCCTCTTCTTCGCTTAGTCCAACTACAGAAAGAGGTGGTATGCTGAGAAGCAACAGAAGATAAAGATTAATCATTTCACAAACAACTGCAAAATGAAAAAAAATTCAGAGGTGCTACATTAGCCGGAAAAAATACATCTTCAGATTTCATGTGCAGCATAAGAGTGAAAATAAGAAAATCAATATATAGTGATAAATGTACTCTCGACCTTAACATCACGTGCATACAAACACTTAACATCACGTGCATACAAACAATATGAATGATATTCCTCAATATGACATAATAAAATTGATACAAACACAAGGAGTCGATGTGGGACATGATGCAAGGATCATGGCATGACCAAAATAGATGACATGAAGTACACCTCCCCACAAACCAAATATTATCCTCAACAGCACACCAAATTCAATCGGGTTCGCAACTATGAGAGTGGGGGCCGAATCTGAAAATAGCCACTTTTTAACTACAAATATTTGATTTTCATCCAGTTCATCCTAGCAGCACTCGAATCAATGGGGACACATTGGTAATGACCCTTTTGACCACAATTGATTTTACCTTTTTCAATTTTAGTAGCAAATGTATTCAATGTTCGACAAATGCACAAAAAAATTGCATGCAGTTTGGTATGGCAATGACAGATATTCAAAATCAACTAGATTCTTTCAAAAGAGTTCTATTGATAATCACTTGCACACCCTCTTCCTAATCCCCCCCCCCCCCCAAAAAAAAATAAAAAAATTAAAAAAATTAAATAAATACCAGCACACATACACACCAAAGAAAAGGGAAGGAAAAAACTCTGAAAAGAGCAAATAAACAAATTAGTAGAACAATGTGTGAATAGTGTCAGCCGCTAGGTTTGTACTAATCAACCCACCCAGAGCCCTATTAATGGGACTAAATTGGTCGTTATTTTTGGTGGAAAACATGTGAAGATGCATTATTAAACAAGCATGAAAACATCGAATATTTTACTTGTCTAAAAAAGTAAATAGAAGAATTGATTTCCATTATGATCTTACAGAAGCAAAATTTATGTTTTTTAACTGTCAGAAAGGTCAAGGAATCAGAGGGTCAGGTGTCACAGCAATTACTGAAATGCATCCAGGAAGCATCCTTTCTTGACTGAAACTGTATTGACTATAGCCCACCTCAGTCAATTATAAACATTTAGATCATAGCATTTATGTGAGTTTAACACAAATGTCAATAATTTTCAAGCAAGAGCAGAATAAAATTCTAGAGCTCCTATTTACCCAAAAAAAATATTCTAGAGTTCTTATTCAAAATTTCCTCAATTTATCAACTAGCGAAGGATCACAAAGATACGTCTCCTAAACACACAACAGAATACAGTGTTGAATAATCAAATTACACTGTAAATAGTCAATCCCTTTCAACCATTAAATTAATTTCAGGTTTCAAATGTACTGCTACTCCGCCACCACAGCAGTGGTCAAAAGGAAAGATTAATTCCTGAACCAACACGCTGATCATGTCATGTCAAGGTGCTACAGTAAAAGGTCTGTAACATGCTAGTCATCCATACTCCAAAGTCCAAAAATGGGGGTAAAATGTAAATGAAAACAGAAAATAAAGTAGTGGTTTATTTAATTGTCTACTAGCCATGAAGATTCAACTATAATGTAAAAGAAAGACACTAAAGCAGACCAAGTCATAAAGTTCCCAAAGAAAAAGGATCCACAAAATGGCAGTACCCATTCATTGGTTATGATCAAGAGTGGAGTTACGTGTGTAGGTGTGGGGGCAAGTTACTTTTGAGGGATTACCAAATATACACTGTTATGGCAACAAAACTATGACCAATTTATCTCATTGCCACCCTTAATTTTCTGGAAAATTTTAATTTAGTAAGTTAGTAGTTCACTCATCTCTTAATCTACTAAAATAATTAAATATTTCATTGTCTGTTGAATTAATTTTTATTTTAATTTTCATTTAGTCTTTGATCTTAACATATTTCCCATAGTGTGAACTTAGGAATTTTGTGTGAAATCTGCACGTAATTTAGTCCTTATTAATTGATATGCAGAAATTTTTTTTTAAAAACTAGCTGGTTCTATTTTGTATTCATGTTTTTGCCCCCACTAGGACATAATCCTAACTCCACCCTTGGCTATGATGGTTTCCCAGAAACATCCCAAATAAAATATGGCTTTCAAACCTCTTTCCAAATTTGTGGACACTGCTAAAGGGAGTGGTACGCACTTTTTTAAATCCAAGAAAAGTTTTATTTAGACACATATGGATTCATGCATCTCAACTAGAAAAGAATCAAGAGAACAAAAGAGAATCATAATTGACAGACATTTTTCTTTAAACAAACAAATATTAAGCGAAATACAAAAATTGGTGAGTCAACTAAGCCCTCTAAAGGACTTGCTTAAGACAAAGGTACGAAAAACCTCAAGTAAACACCAAATGAGGTTAAATCCGAAAGTCGGGGTTCAAAAGCTAAAAAATTAACAAAGAAAAAAAAACAAACAAAAGTTCCATTCAAAAAAGAAAATAAATGGAAAACGGAAAAAAATCTGACGCGGGGTGGAGTTTCCTCAGAGTCACAAATCACCCAAGAGAAAAAGGCAAGCCAGTCCCACAAAACCATAGGTTAAATGGAACCACAGTAAACTGATCCATGCAACACAGTCCACCACTGGGAGAAAGGTTACGAGAAATCTTTCAGTGTCTCTATGTTGTGTATATGTGTGAAAGCTACTACACTAAAATGACAAACTTCAGTAATATATGTCCATTTAAAATTTTTTCAAATATACTTAATGAATTGTCCACCTTAAAAGTCAACACTACTAGAGTTACACAAGCACTGACAATGGATGGGATCTTATTCCAGCAAGGGATATAAACTGAGTAGTCGTCCCACCAAAAACAGATTGCAGTGGACGAAGAATATTTCGGTTTACTAATCACAAAGAAAAAATGAAGAGTATTTCACATAAGCACCTTCACCAGATGATGAATCTGACATGGTTTCAATAACAAAAGAAAAGGCAATAGAGAAACTGTGTAAGAAAAAGAGAGCTGGTACCAGAACACGGCACAAGGTACGTTACTATAGTCCGGTTTGCTAGGCTCTCCACCAAAAACAGTTTTCTGCAGGCAGGCAATGCCAAAAAAATGAATGAACATGAACAAACTAATTACATAACTGGCCAAACAGAAGATATCAATCAATAATAACACAAGCAATAGAATCTCAACAATGATGGTTGAAGAAGGTCCAGTAGGAACACATACTGCGAAACAGGTCCCTTCCATTAAGGCCACAGGAGTGAGATTTATGCGATTTGTAACATCACCAATGGCCCATATGCTAGGTATGCTGGTGCGTGAGTACTCGTCAACCTGTAAGAGATGATAAAAAAAAAGCCCCAACATACATAAAACTTGTGATGACGCAAACAATATCGCAAACTGCCTAGTGGCAACATGAGCTCGACTCAACATAACATAGCCTTGTCCCAACATTTTTTGAGTCTACTACATCAATCCTCTTTCGCCATTATGTTAAAGCATAAGCTATTATATCTTTTTTTACTAGTTCTTCTAAAGTTAATATTAGTCTTCATCTAACCCCATGGACGGAGCTATGTATAGTCCAGGGTGGGCAAGTGCCCCCCTCAGAAATTCCTTTTTTTTTTTATTACCTAGATATATATATATATTATATATTTGTATAATGTATTACTTGTGCCCCCTAAAACTAAAGACAAAAATACTAAGCTCACCACCTCCACCCAAAAAAAATTAAAAAACCAAGCCCACATAAAACAAAAAAAAATTTAGCCCATATTGTTAAAATCTGAATATCGTACAAAAAATTAAAACTTAATCACGTTTTTATTTTATTCAAATATTGATTATAGTATTTGCTATGTGTCAATCGATTTTAAATTTTTTTAATATGTTTAGCTCTTAAATTTTAATTTAATAGTTTTACTATGTTAATATCTCAGTGTGTTTGGAACATCATTTATTGAATAAATTTAATAGATTATTAGTGAATAACTGATATTTCTTAATTACAAAAACGACAATTAGTTCCATTTTTACGATAGTGATAATTAGTCATTTTTTGTACATATATATACAATATGCATGCATGATTTTTTTGGCATTTTTTTATGTTAAATGGAATTCATGTATCAAATATGATATAATAAATATAAATATATTATATAGCGTAATTGATTAGGAAAAAAAAAATTAGAGTGCATAATTAAAGTGTCCATCCTAAGCAAAATTTCTAACTTCGCCCTTGTCTACCCTTACACTTGCCGTCAATAACTATCATATCACTCTTTCTTACCTGTGCCATAGTAGGCCATCTATAAATATGTCCAAACCACTTAAGTCGATTCTTCTTTAATTTATCTCCTATATGTGCTACCTTTACTTTTTGGGGATATACCCACTCCTAATTCTAATAGTAGGATAAAGCATTGCGGGTTTTATGGCCGTTGTATTTGTATAGAACCTTTCTTTTAACTTAAAGCATATGCATCTATCACACAATACACCAGACGCTTTCTTCATTTAATCTATCCTGTATTAATTCTGTAGGTAACATCGTCACCAATCTCACGCTCGAATAATAGACCCTAAATAATTAAAGTATTCACTCCTCGGTACCTCTTAATTTTCAATTTTTACTACATCTCAGTTGCGATTCCTCCTTTCACCAGAGTTGCATTTTATATATTCAATTTTAGTCCTAGTTATCCTGAATATTTTTTATTCCAGAGCTTCTAGTCATATTTTTAATTTATTATTAATTTCGTCTTTACTTTCATCAACTAATACAATATTATCCGCAAATAAAGGAGGATAATAAATTTATATCGCAATGGACAAACAATAAAATAACGATAAGAGAACCCAAATAAGAACTTAACAAGATACTCTCGGACAAGGTATAGAAACCCAAACATGGCCTAACAATACAAGAATAGGAATAATCTCCATCTCAAAGTCAATACACAGCTCGACTTAGAAAGAGTAGCCAACGACTACTAAAAATCATCACTAGATGAATCATTAAATAAGAGAGATTTGAAGGAATGAGAATACATCGGCATTTGCGGAATCTGCAGTCCCTCCTTCAATGTCAGTTGCTGGTTGAATCAGAAAATCATCTTGTGCTTTACACAGCTTAATGGAGAAACAAGAAGAAAAGCTTGTGCTTTGGGCAACTTAATGGAGAACCAACAACTACATAGGCCTGTGCATAAATCTGTTGTACCTTCTCCTTTAGAGTTAATACACAGCTTGACTTAGAAAGACTAACCAACAGGTAAAAATCGCCAATAGATGGCTCTTAAAATGAAGCCAGATGATGAACAAAGAACGGGAAACACCAAAAATTACAGGTAACATGCCAACAAAATCCAAGTAAACCAAATAGATATATGTGACATGGGATAAACCACTAAGAGCTGCTATTGAACCAACATGGCTGCAGTTTCAGTAAAAACTAATGGAAACAAGAAAAGCACGGATTTTAGAAGAATATTTTCAGGAACACTCAAGAGGATGCACCAATATGTTGAAAATTTTCAATGGACAAGCATGTCAACTTCAAATAAAAGTGACGCTGGAATTTCAAGTGGAAGTTCGGAAATCCAATATACACGCAAAAAAGGAATACTAAGGAAAAGCAAGAATTATGGAGGGAAAAATGCATTGAGTTCAAAAGCCAACTCATCAATCACCGCCTGCCAACCAAGATGCAGACGAGTTGGAGAGCAAAGCGAGTCAACCACTTTATTATGATGTCAGGAAATGAGTTAGACATCCATTAACAAAATAAATTCTGTTGTATAGATTTTTTTTCTATTAAATATGGATGACATAGTATAGAACTTGACACCCTAGTAACTATTCTCGATTCCCATTTTCCCTTGTTCACGTTTTGGACACTTCCTAGATTTTTGCAGATCATTCAACAGATACCAATCCCGAAAATGCTAAAGAAAAAGCTACCTTCACAGCTCCTGCCCTGTCAAGCTCAACACCTACAGCATCCAAATTTAGCCTCTTTGTGTTAGGAGCCCGACCTGCAACCAATTATAAAAGACTGTTAAAATGATAAACTAAACCAGGAAAAAAGAGGAAGACAGAGAAAATTATTAATATCCTTAGATTAGAATTAATGTGCCTACGCATCACAAAGAAATCATCAGAACTCCAAAAAATAAAGTCAAAGCTTTTCTAACAATTAAAAAGAATATTACTGTCCACGGAATGGTAAAGATTTGAAACCAACCATAAATAATTTCTCATAAGCTTCACAAAGCAAATCTAGACATTGAAAGCATCCACCATTTACTCTTGCATTGCCTTGCAGTTATCGCAAGGTGGGTGATTCCTGGTCATTGCTTTCTTTGTTTGTTGGGGTATTTATGGGGTTTTTGGGAGAAATAATAAAGGGGTGACTCTGTAAAATTTGCAATCTTTGCTACTGTTTGGGTAATTTGGAAACACAGGAATGCTAGAATATTTGAAAACTGATGTGAGTTGGTTGAAGGCTTATGGGATGGCATTCACTTTTTAGCAGTGTTTTGGGCTTCAGTTACCAAGGATTGTAAGGGAATTCCACCTTTTTAGCAAAGTTACGGATTGGAATGCTTTATGTGATTCATAGATTTTATGTATTGTTTGTTTTCTGTTTTTTTATTTTAGGTTGGATATCCTGTCCACCATTGTATATATTGTGATTTACTACTTTTAAATTAATATATTCGGCTTGTTTCAAACTAGGGAAAAAAAAAAGAAGCAAATTTAGACAGGTTATAATTCAATGAATCAATAGCACAAGCTGCAAGATTTTCCCACCCACAGTAAAGGACTTAGTCAGAGGCTAGAACTCAATAATATTTGCTTTCTCCATAGTTCCACATGATTTGACTAAATGAATTCAAGATATCTCCATTTTATCTTCTTGTAGAGATATAGATATTGAAGATGTTGCAGAAACAGTTTTAATGAAGAAACCAATGTAGGTGTAAAGTAAAACGATCAAAGATAAGTCCATATTTAATGTTTCTAACACAATTTTATTTATTTTTTTGTTTGCAAAAAGAATGGTAACTAAAGCAATGAGCATCAAACACTAACTGCAAGCACCTTTCCAACCCACGAGTTTGTCAAATTCACAATAATTCAGAATCCTGCAATTCTCATCATAGAATAGACCGGGAAAAGAAGAAATAGAAATTTAAAATCCCTTATGCAAACGCAACAGCATCTATAAAGTTATCTTGATATTTTTCCAGATCATTCAGCAGAGAAGTTAACAAACCAAAATAAAAATCCAGAACTATAAGACAAGATAAAATGTACTCCGTTGCTATTATCACAAAAAATAGAGATCAAAACGAGTCTAAGTTATTCGCTAAGTAAAAAAGGAGAGCAAATTAAATCTAATTCTTAATATTATGCTATTTCATGTATCTAACGTTTAGATATGTTAGCCTGCTGAGCAACAACGTGATAGTTAGCTTTATCAAGTGGGTAATAATGCACATTAGCCAATAGAAGACAGAAAATGCCACCAGGTTATCAGTAGTAATATACTTTGACATGAAACTCTCTTGATCAGATAAGTTAACAATCAATGCAAGCGTTAACGTATTACTTCTATGCAATACAAATAGAACAGGTCTTGGAATTACCAGTGGCAAATAGTACAACATCAGCCACCAATTCTTCACCATGGTCAGTGACAGCTTTTATGCCATCTTCTGTTTTAACCAGCTGAATAACCAATCTCATCATTAAAAAAATGCTTCAGGGAATAGAGAAACTCGTTATCAATGGAATGGCAAACAATAAACCCTTTAATTCAGAATACATGAATCCCATAACATCAAATGATACAAAAGTACCTCTGTCAAGGATGTCCGTGGGTGCAAATTAATTCCCCTGCCTTCCAGGTTTCTTGCAACCAGTGTTCTCATTTCGTCATCAAAACCTCTGCCATTGAAAATTTTCCACATAAAATGCATTAACAATGCTGTTAACATACGCACTTTTTGAGAAACAAGAAGCAAGAAATGTGCATCAAATACTTAGAACGCAAATTGTTAAGAGTGTTACTTTCCTATTATGTTACTCTACTATTATTCTATTCCTAATATTGTAATTGTCTTCAATATTAATTTAATATAAATAGATGATAGGGTGTTGGCAACATACACACTACACACAATATTGTTTCATAATCTCTTTCTTCCTGTCGCCTTTCTCTTTCTTTATTTTCCTAAACCATAATATACAATTATTCAAGTTTCCACTCAAACTAACGTACAACACAAGAAAGTGATCTATAACTTCCACAAGCTGTACATTGACAAGATAAGGCCATTGCGCACAAGTTGAAAGAAACATGCTTTCAAGGTTTGGACTCTAGCATGATGTGATTGATAAAAGAGTGACAGGAAATATATACTTTGCCAAGAACACATAAACAGAGCTGCTATATACAAGTAAAAGGATGAATAAGCTGTAATATTTGACAGAAATGAATAAGTGCATACTCTGTGATGGTTCACTATTACATTGTCACATCACAATTGTGTTAAGTTTAAAAAATTTAGGCACTTTTCTCCAAGTTGATAGTTATCCTCTTTTGATATAGTTACACCTGCCTGGAATTGTTAATTACATTACATGTTCATATACCAAGTGGCATATACTTGCACCAAAATGGAAATCACTAGAACCCATATATGCAAAACAATTGTAACAAGGCTTTGGTTAGTTGTGTTTAGTTTACGGTTTACACAACATAGTCAGAGTTATCCATTACAGGCCCTAAAAGCAAGGTATGGCAGTCTAACTAACATGAGTTTTCAAACTTATGATTCAAAGCATCTAAGATGGTTGACGCTGCCTTGACAAACTCATAAACAAAATGACCAGTAAAAGAAATGATGGTGTGCCGGAAGCTGAAGAGTAAACTGCCAACGGTCAAAAAGAAAAGGACAAATTACACTGACACCCCTCATGGTTTATCAAAATTTCAAAGGGTATCCCTGACATTTCGGAAATAACACTACACCCTTCTGATTTGGGTTTTATTTTTCATAAAATACTCCCTGTTAGTCAACTAGTAGGGTCAAACTCTGAAACTACTGACACTAACTATCTTTTGCACAAAGTACCCAATTACCTCAGTCAAGCCATCACCGTATCTCCATCACCACAAAAAAGAGATACATAAACTGAAGAGAGAGAGAGAGAGAGAGTTCCAAAGAGAGTGATTCATCCTTCTTATTCTACTTTGGGGAGAGAAGAAAAGAGGGGGAGAGAAAAGAAGGAGATCTGGGGTAGGAGCGGGGGAGAAAAGTGGGAGTGGGGGGGGGTGGGGGTGGGTGCCAGGCGGCAAGCAGGATTGCAGGATCTAGGGAGAGATATAGAGGGAAAAGAAACTGAGAGATGTGAGGGTGTGTTGGAATCATCCCGTTAACGCTATTGGGAGGCAAAGTCTAACAAGGAATGCCAGTGTTATTCTAAAAAAACAAGGGTATCCTTGAAATTTGATAAAAGCAAAAGAGATGCAAGGGACGTTGGAGGTGGTGGATATAAATAACTATAACATATTACAGAAAAAAAGAAGATAATGAGAACAATTAACACGAGTAAAATTACAATTATGCCCTCTGTTACCCAATGTGGTTGGCATGTTTTGTGTTCAGCAATAAAAAACCCAATGTTATTTGGCAAAGAGGAAAATTGCAATAGATTTTAAGATCAAAGATGTAAAGTGAGAGTTTTTTCTTTTTGAGGGGGCAGGCAGAGTGTAACTCATTGCACATTTTGAGGGGTAAATTGTTAATCAGCCTCATGAAAAGTAATTTTCTTACATGTAAGGGAAAAATTGGGAACAAAAATGTTCTGTTAACTCCATTGGAGGAAAGAATATAATCGAGGATATTGGTATTATTTCAAAAACAACAACATAAACCACAAAGTGGTGTTAGTGTAATTTGCCAAGAAAAACACAAATACAATCAAGAGTGTTATAACCTCAATGGAAGTTCCTTTCTGAAGCATAGATCCACTGTGGCACCCATTCCACGCCATATAGAAGCAAACTCAACAGCAATGTACCTAAATCACAAAAGAAATGAGTAATATAAAGAACCAACCATGCTGAACAAAATTAACATCACAGAGAGATGAAAAGTTAAGCACACACCCTCCACCAAGTATGACAACATGCTTGGGTAACTCATCCAAGCTCAAAGCCTCATCAGAAGTTATAGCCAACTCCTGAAATACCAACCCAAAAAATGTAACGGATTAATAGGAGGTGTCAAATAGGACAAGTGGTGGTTTGGGTGGAGATGGAGAAGGAGTGAGGATGGTGAAAATGAGGAAACTATGGAAGTATGACTAGTTAACCGGACCAAAGATGTTGAAAATGCAGTACAATTGAAGTTCTACTTTCTGTTCAAAAAAATTGAAGTTTTACTTGCAACCAAAAAAAGTATGTGCTAATGTTCCCAGGTAAAACGCCGCAAATAGACAGCAAACCAATTAAATTATCAAGGCATTGTTTTAATTATGATAGTTTTGTTATGTCGGTAATTAAAATTGGAATGAAATCAGAAACTCTACCTGTCCAGGAATAGGTGGACGTTGAGCCCTACTGCCAGTTGCAATCAATATGTGCTTTGCTGAATAGCACAATTTAGTGCCATCCAGTTGTGTCACTTCTACGTCATTGGGACCAACTACCTTCCCCTCTCCTTCAAAGAGTTTAACCCCTGCATTTGAAAGTAATCGCTTGTAGATTCCATTTAGCCGGACTATTTCCTCTGTCTGCAATTTTGGGAAAAGATAAAAGTAGGAAAAAAGTCATGAAATTATAGGCTCCAAAACCTGTTCTACCTCACCTACTCATGAAAACAAGTGATAATACTTTTACTGTATTTCAAACTATTCAGAATATGTATAATAAATAACCAACAGGCATGTTCTGTGAAAAAAACTCCATGAGGCAACTAAGATAATGATAAAAGCTAAAAGCTGAAAACTGTCAGAGTTTGGATATAAATAAATCAAGCCTTAGTTAGCAATCCAATTAGTTTAGCCCTCAATTGGAGCTCAAACACTCAAAGTAAAATTGAAAATTAAACTTACAGAACTTTAACATTTGATAGTTCATTTCCAACCATTGAGATAAACCGAGCAGGCAAGTAGGTCATGGTTTCCTTAATTTTCTTTTCAAAGCCAGTGGGCAAGTTTTGCAACTACTAATTTTTTTCATAAGAATTATAGACGAAATACTAGTTGTTTTGTTATTGCATTTTCTCTCGGTACTGATGAAAAAAGGTGACCACAGACAGGTGCTAACATAGGAATCTAGTGAGATCTGAATGACAATACATTGATCCTATGCACAAAATCCTACACACAATTTGACACAAACCTTCTTTTGCAAAAGTTTCTTCCAATTGAAATCAATCTTCTCATTTACTTCCCACCCATAATTCCTGGCATCCTACAAAATGAAAAGCATTGATGGATCAAACCATATCATAAATGAATCTGAATCAAAAACGTTTATGACATTCTATTTCCAAACAGTTAAAATGAAAGATTAAAGTATAGATGCAAGAGAAAAATAAAAAATAAAAACGAATATCAATTCAAGCTCAAAGATTGTGAACAGGTAACAACACACCCTCTCTTGGGGAGTTCAGAAAGATGCATATGCTTCAAACTAGCATATAAACGCGTAAAACAATAAGAAATGCCAGATGCGTATGGTTGAATGTAATTTCATTTTCTATGGGTTCCATTACATGATATATCCCAGAATCTCAGTCTTCAGTTCGGGCACAGATTTCTTTGCCATGATGGTGGACAGGATAAGACACATTAAAATATAAGTAGGTAATGTAGAAGTTTAAGACCAAAAGAACAAATTTAATCATTAATCTATCTCAACGAAAATGTTAATCTTCCACCCTGCAAGAAGTTATCTCTCTGCATTTTGGTTCAGTTCAATCCATGACCATTCAGATACTTTCTAATTGTTTCACTTTATTCAATTGAGAAAATAGCCTTTGGCAGTAAATAGAAGAGACCTGAATATAAAACTGATATTTTCAAACAATCTGTCAGTTGTGTGTTGATGTAAATCATAATCTTACCTCAAGTTCAGGCCCAAAGGAAGCCCCATACACCAAAATCTTTTTAGGAACACAACCACGTATGACACATCTGCACCACATGAGAAACATCATGATCATATGCTATTTCAGCATTTAAAATTACATCACGGATATAAAGTCTAATAAACTGAAAAGTAAAATAATTGAAAACCACTGCACTTCAATAACAGATCTCATTATTCAAGACTCCTAAAGCCTTAGAATTTGTGCAATGGCATGTAGGGCACAAAATAAATAATGGGTGCCTATTTGAAGTTACCAATCAACAACAAAATTATTTTACATAGGGAACACTTGCACATGCTCACTGACATTTGGAACCAAAGAAGTTACAATTGCAACCCACACATAACCTGAATAGCTCCATAATGGAAAATGCTCAGGTCTAAATATTTTTCCATTCCAATATTATCAGCACTTTCCCCATACAGCATGCATGCATGTACCTTCCCCCGTCCATAATTCTTTCCCCTTTAACCTACAACTGTTAGCACAATGTCCATAAGTTTCGTGTTTCTTCTAAACGATTTGATAAATGCTTTGAGATTTTGTCATAGTTTGATTTTGCTCACATGTCATATAATCACAACCGCCTCTTTCATAAGCAATTTTACTTTACATTTCGTCTTTCATATGATTTTCATTTCACTGTCAAATACTAAAAAAATCCACCTTCAATGCCACCTAAAATTGGAAAACCCCACCTCCAATTGAATGGAATCCAAATTGATTTTATGCCCACATTCTGTAATCTAATAAACAGTATACAATAAAGCTATTCCCTAGATAACGTGTGGCATGCATCACAGCTAGCACAGGGTCTTCCTGTGGGGCCTGGATTATTGCAGGCCATTCATATTGCCCATGCTTAATTCTATGTTAGGGGCAATGCTTCACCTTCATTGGTTATCATTTCAACCTCAAAATTTAATATAAACGTATTGTTCCATTAGATGGAGAATATACATGTTACAAATCCAATTTAGGTGAAGTTGAGACAGCTAAATCAAAATGCAAAAAAGCCACCAAGAAAGATGAAAAACTTAAGAAGTAATGCAAAGGTAAAAGTAGCAAAGGCAACGACTGAAAAGACTAATTATCTGACAAACATACGTTCCACCAACTCCTCCTATGACTTCTGAACTGATTGGATGAAAAGGAAGCTCGCAAATCCCAACCTTAGAGCACAATTTCAAAATGGTTATAAATACAAATTATCAAATGTTGCTGTCAGATAACGGAATGAGACTATAAGTACAAATTCACAAGGAGTTAAATCGATATAATAAAAAACTGAGACAGACAAGAAGTTCAAGAAAACTGCAATCAAGAATGAGTTTCTGTATGAAAAATATACCGTCAAGCAGATCAATATCTTTTCACATGCCAAACATTAGTAACAATAAGATCTTATGAACACAAACCATTTTATGATATTTTACACAAACCATTTTATGATATTTTTCTATCTATCATAGTAACCACTGTCCTCTCCTCTTGAATCAAATTGAACTAACAGTTCAGTTTGTTAGAACCGTCGAAAGAAATATTACAGTCTGGTATTCTTTTTTACAAAGAAGACCAGATATATATAATCTATTACTATGACTTCAAAGACATCTTTTGCCCTTCTTTGATTAAGTTATAGTGAATCTGTACATGATTCTATAATCTAGATGCATGGGCTTTGAGCAACATTAGAGCATCCAATTTCGTAGATTATTTACCGTAAGAGAAGCTTCAAATTTTCTATATCTTAGAACTTATACATCACACAAATATTATATAATTTCATTAGCCTTCAATAAACCAAGATAAGAATTATTTATTATAGAGTCAATTCCATGTAAAATAAATAGAAACTGTAGTTTATCCAGCTTTATTGTTTCAGCCATGCTTTGGTGATTGTTTTAATTGTTATCTGGTAAAAGTTTTGATCATTCAGCACAGAGCAGGAAGTCAGATGGCCCATACTGCCTGCCTAACTCTTTGCACCAAGTCGCCGAAAGAGATTACCGCCTAACATAGGGGTTGGGGGTGTGGTAAATTCAGCCTAAATGACTCAGCAAAAGGACCACGCAATCCTATCCTATACAAGTCCAAGCAAACTTTCCTTGCTATGAATCTTTTAACTATCGAAGACCGCGGAGAGGCTAGGCAACCCAATGTCTGGTGATTTGGAGTGTTTCAAGCTTTACTAATGAAGGGAAAGAAGCTTTGGAGCTATGAAACACGAACACTCTCAAGAAGGTGACATATCCTTGTTGGACACCGACACTCTTCAAACACTCGGACATGTGTCCGACACTTCTTTAATGACATGTCTGACACTTCTTTGGTGATGTATCCGACACTTCTTTAGAACGTTTTTACTATTAAACAATAAATATGTATTGAAATGTGATTAACAAAGTTTAAAATTTAGATAATATAAAATTACTAATACTAAACATGTTAAAATTGTAGTCCAAATATAATAATAAAAATAAAAGAAGCATAAAAGTTTAAAAAAAGAGAAATTGAAAAAATGAAATAAATTATTTAAATTATATATTAGGTACACATTGTCTACAAAAAAATTTTGATGACTATTGATTATTATAATAATGTTTTAGCCTAAAAATTTATACAGATGATTATACATAAAATTTACTTATCATAAAATATTGAATCTTTTATGAATTGTATATCATTATCACTATATTTGCGATAAATTATAATAATGTTATATATAAAATATAATTTTTTGTAACGTATCTCCATCATGTCTTTATCCTACTTTTTTGAGAAATGTTGTCGGGTCGTATCTATGTCCGTGCTTCTCAGCTTTGGAGACTAGGGGGAAGGTCAATATACTACAGAAGGTCATAAGCGATGTACATAATTTCGATCAAGCAAATCTAAAGGCATTTGTTTTCACCCAAGATGACAAAGCTCGAAGACTTGTGAAAGCAGGTGTCTTAGTCTGTAGCTTCCTGCTTTTGAGCCCAAGCCTACCTTAGATTAGAAAGGTTGATACAATAAATATGTCCCCAGTAAAAGTAAAATCATTCTCTACTTCAAGAAAGAAGCTGGAAGGGGTGCTGTACCATTCCACTAGTTTTCAAAATACAGAATGTTTCAGTATTGTTTTTGAAACGTATCCATTTTTTTGGCTAAACAAAACATGTCATGGAAACAAAACTCTGAGCCATGATCCCGAGGTACATAAAATATAGATTAGATGTGAGTCTATACCTTCTTAGCTCCATACTGAGAGGAAAAACGAGCAGCCCGGACACCTCCACTTCCAGCCCCAATCACAAACAAATCAAAGTCATAGTGAGCCTCTTCTTCAGTAGAATTGCCTACCTCCCCATCAATTAGCATCTTTCTCGCCATGATTACAAATCTAAATCCACAACCTATAAGCAAAATCAAATCTAAAATAATGATAAATGAATCGTACCCTGTTTGGCCACCAAGGAAAGAATGGAAAACAACAGAAAAGTTAGAGAAAATAGAAAATCTGGATCTGGCCTACATGAAGATCAAAACCCAGTTAAGGCTTTTAATGTTGAAACTTCAAATACCCAAATCATTTCTAGGGAGAGAAAGTCAAAACTTAAAAATTGATTCTTTTAAATTCTTATCTCCGTGATTATCACTGAGATTAAACTGAGTATTGATATTTATTTCTCTTTAGCTTTTTTCCCACATATTCTCGGCAGCCAAACAAAGAACCTAAAAATAAAAAAGGGTATGGAATTGGATCGTTGAACTCACCGATGTGATGTTAAAGCAAAAGTGCTGAAAATGCTCAGAGGGTACTCTGCTTATACTTCGGTTTGTTGCTTTGTTTTTCCAATAATAGGGTTTTAAAGAGTGTTATTGATGAGGAAAATGGCCCCGACAGACCTGAATATACGTGGATGTATGTGTACAGGGGAGTGAGCCAAAGGCAGAGCGGGTTGAATGCTAGAATGTGAAAACGAAGAAGCAGACAATCACCTCAGGGTGTGCTTGAATGGTCAAATGAAGTGAACTCAACTCCTCCTCCTCCTCCTCCTCCTCCCTCTTTATTTTTATTTTTTTTTTTTTTTCAACCGTGCATTTTACTCACAACTCACTAATACCTACTTAGTCCGTTTAATAGCAGACAATCCCCCCCCTCCTTTTATTACTAAGATTTAAAATTAAAACGTCTAAATTTATATTCCTATTACTACTTGAGTTACCAAAGAATTTTATTCTTCCTTTTTTGGTATCTCTCGACTAATTCATCTTCGGTCCAGTCAAAAGTAGACTATTCACACTTAAACTATAGTATTCATGAGAAATAAATTCTTTATAGTTGTCTAATTCAAAGAATTATCAAAATTCAAACTCATACTAAATTTACATTCTTGTTACCATTTAAACCACAAGAAGTTTTCTTCTTTTTTTTAGCTTCTCTTGTGTTGCAAATGATTTGAATATAGTTTTGGGTTTAACTTGTTGATCATTTAGAGTTGGAAAAAATATAAATAAAAAAATTGATCAATTTTTTTAAAATTTATATTAAATTAATAGAGACTCAATTTTTTATTTCAAGAGAGACTCAAATATTTAATAGTCAATTTTCGTCCTCTTCTAAAGATTCAAAAATCATATTTCATTCTCATTTAAATTTGACTTCCTAATAAAGTGTTTTGTATCAAATTAAACTTTTTCTTAAATATTTACTCAAATGTTAGTAAAATTTTAAGTCAATGTTGGAGATAGCTTAATAAAGACTAAATTTATTGTAAATTTCATAATATTGTTGAGAACTTAATTTTTTTTTAAAAACATAAATATTTTTGGGTCAATATATTTTATTATTTACATTTATTTGTGGGTTACTAACTTATCAAAAAATAATTATTTATAATACGGTTGTCACCCTTAACTCTCCTAGGACCTAGATCCATCATTTTCATATAATGGCATCCTATTAGTCATTGCATGTTAGTCCATATAAAATCAAGATGATTATTATTAAAAAAAAAAAAAAATTGGATGATCATGTATATTTGTTAAACAATCCGAAGTTATGCACAACATACCCAAAATCAGAAAAACTAAAATACGATTTGTAATAAAAACTTTGAATTTGGGTTTTGCCGTTGAAAGTAAAAGAAAGTACCGGCTAACTCAATAAATAGTTCAAATGATAGCAGAAACAAATTTATAAACTCAAATGCACTGAGTTCGAATCTCGATAATCTCTTACAGTCAGACCATAGATCATGAAAGATTTATTCTTCATAAATACTCTAGTCCCGAAATGAATGATCTATCTTTGATCGGACTGAAAAGAGGATTAATCGAAATATATATAAACTGATTTAAATACCCTTGACTATTGAAAAAAAAAAAAAAAGGTGGGGACTATTGTGCAGTGGTCCTACCAGACGTGTGTAGAGAGTTACCATGGGATCATAGACTGGAAAATAGCACAGAATAATCTTCTACTTTAGAGAAGCTTATGTCTCAATTGATTATAACAATAACATAAGGCAACAAATGCCAAAAGGTGGCCGAGCCAACCCCAATATGGCTACAAGTTATTGTCGGATTTAAATTCCCTTTAATTTTCTTTAATACAATGTTAGATGAGTGACATATATAAAATTTTAATTTCAATAGGTAAGATATTTTATTATTCATTTTGTTGATGGTGGTGTGTTATCTATAGTTAAAAAGTTTTTTATAACAAAAAAATTGTCCATTGAAATCAAAATCTTACACATGTCACCAATTTAGTACTATATTAGAGGAAATTAAAAGAAAGAAATAATGGAAGAGTTCTGAATTCGTTATTGGCAATCACTTTCCAACCATTTTTCCAGCAACAGAGAGAGAGAGAGAGTTTATAGGAATTTTACATACTCCTAATTTCTCTTTCAAGGTTTGAGAAAAATGTAATGGATTCATCATCTTGGATTTTATTTTTCTCAAATTTTGGGGAATTTTGTTTATTTTAAACTATGAGATCAAGAAGTCGATCAATCTTTAATGTGTACTTTTATTTTAGAGTCATATTTGCATTAAATTCTTCTCAGCCTCTCTTTTTAGGGAATCTGTTATGTTCGTCTTTCAAACTTGTGAATTATCAAAAATTTATCGAAAGAGTGATATGAGACTTGTAATAATGATTAATGATTACTTATAAAATATCATAGGATAACTAAAACTATTCTGTAGCATCCCGCTGTATGTTTGTGCAGCCTACAAAACACATGCTAATGTAATTAATAGATTTACCATTGGAATTGATTTGATGAAAATTGACGAGATTTCAAATTGAATATGCTTTATAATTTCTTAGAAGGGGGAACTTTGAACCAAATTCTAGAACAAATAAAGCACTAGGAGACTAGTCAACATATGCATGTGTGCAAACTTTTCATGTGATCAAAATATTAAAGCAAGAAAAAAAAAGGCGACAGTCAGGAATAGAGCTAATAATCGATTCGAGTTACTCGGACTTGACTCGTTTGAATTCATTTTAGATTTGTTTTTCAAAAAAGGCAAGCTTGAACAATTTTGTACTCCGCTCAAGCTTACAAATTTTGAATCGTTTATACGTAAAATAGTCAAATTACTTGAATTCGGCGTGAATTCTACTCGTTTTGGGTTAGGCTAGTTTTCTAAACAATCCGAGGTTTAATAATTTTTTAAGTTCATTTAGAAAAATGAGCTCGACAGGCTCGGTTCGAACTCACGAATCTCGACTTGATTATTAACTCTAGCAAGAAAATTCCTCATCACAATAACCAAAATACCTACATTAAATCAAGGGATGATTAAATGGTACGATTAACTTTCACTATAAAGAAAATTGATCCAATCATACACATTGATTTGATATAAAAATTCACTATTCTTTTTTTATATTTCATCTTCTTTTCTCCAACAAAATCTTCTAACAAAAATTTGGCAATTCATTTGGATATTTTTCCCCACTCTTTTGGAGTGAGCCCCCCTTGATTAATGTAGTCCATATGGACCCATGTCTTAACCATTGCCCATAGACATCACTTTTGAAAATATACCACAAAGTTGTAAGGGGGAAAAGGACCTAAGCTCACTTTTCTCTCTTTTATAGTTTCATGTCTTTCTGTCATAATAAAAAGACAAAGAAAAGTATGGCATTGTGGCCTCTAAGCTTTGGAGGATTGCATAGAGCACATAACCAATCACCAATAGTGATGTTAAACCTCAATGGATGGCCTATGTTTTGGCTCATCTAAAACCTTTTCAAGCCTATTTGGTTGTCCTTAAACCATCTCTAACTTTTAACTCAAATTTTTATTAAATTTAAATAAAATACTTGATTTGATACCAAGAACCCGAATGACCAAGCTCAAATTTAAAAGAATGTGAAATATGACTATTGAATCTTAAAGAAGAATGAAATCTGGTCATTGATGATTTGAATAAATAATAAATTATTTTTTATTTGGTATAAGTTTTTTTTTAACCTAAATTTATTGATTTGATTTTATTCTTCAAAGTCCGAATAATGGATGGTTATGAAATATTTGAAAAAATTCTCCAGACTCATAGGGAATGAAGAATTGAGGGAGAAAGAGGTTTCGACAGAAAAGTGGAGAAAAGAGAAGTGTAAAGTATATTTTGGAGGGAAAAACGGTTTTTTAAAAAGATTTGAGTGCAAAAAAAAAAAAAAATTGTCTATTGGAGAGATTCATATCAAATTAAACTTTTCATCCATTTTTTTACTCAAATTTAGATAAATATTTGAGTATTCATTAGGGATGGTCTAAGAGTCTATAACTAAAACAAATTTTATCAATCCAACGGATATCCATGGTTTAGCATAGTATGAACTAATTTGCCATTTTGTTTTTTCTTTTGTTTTTCACTTTACTACTTAGTTTTTTTCCCTATGGTGGGGCTCAGGAGCTTAATCAAGTCGAACCGGATTGGCTCTTCCAAAAACAAATCAATTGGGTCAGGCAGGTAAGATTGAAATTCTGAGTGAAACCCATGAGAGAAATCCATTAAAGGTTAGAACCACCTGTGGCTATGTTAGAATAAATTACATTTTATCCTTCTGAACTATTATCTTTATTGCACTTTACACTCTAAAGTATCAATTTTATTTTATATCATTCTAATAGATAACGACAAACTTAAAAATTTATCAAATGAGTGAGATAAACCCCAAAGAACTTCCTGTCAATTGTCTAAACCCACTTTATTTTACTTCTTTTGCAACTAAATAGTTGTTAAAAAAAAAAAGTTGGCCAAAGAAAAAAATTTGGAGCTTTAAGAAGGGTAAAGTCATGATTGAATATTTTTCTTGATTTTTGACCTACACATATTCAATGGACAGTTATTTATTGAGAGTACAAATCACTCGCACCGTCAAAAAATTGACAGTCATTATCTATTGAAGTGGTATAAAATAAAATTGATAATTTAGGTTGCAATATGAGAAATTTTATAGTTGAAGGTACAAAATGAAACAAATGTAATAGTTTAAGGAAATAAAATATAATTTACCCGCTATGATATTGTGTGTTTATTTTTAAAAACTGGGGAAATAAATTGATATATCCAGGGGCTACAATTCACCTTATCTCATACCAACATGCGAAGATCCCTTTTTTTTTTTATGTTGGGTGGGGGTGGTGGGGCTGAAGAACATTTGACAAGCTTCCAAGAGTAACTTCATCTGCCATTTTTCATAACATCATTCTTTTCCACCTTTTTTTTTTAAAAAAAAATGGGGGGGTAAGAAAGAGCGTCTAGTGACCATCCTATTAGACTCTCGCCGATGGGATCATAAGATCCCTGATCACGTCTGAAACATCTCTCGAGACCAGACATAGATAAGCTAACATAACGATCAACCACCGAACTCTAATGAAAATTCTAAGACTTGAACTCCCAATCTCTGGTTAAGGAATAAAACTAGTACCACCACTAAACCACCCTACTCACAATCACCAAGTAGCAAGACCATGCACTATACAACGGTGGATATCAAGGAGCGACAATTTTTAGGAGAATTTAGAAGTCGGTATAATTTTTTAGATTTATTTGGGCAAAAGTACAACTCAAAATCTTATTTGGAATAAAGTGCATATTTTTTAAAAATACCAATATTACCATTCGATAAACAATGGAAATGTATAACCCATTTGTATTCCTCCGTATATTATGACTAGAATCAGTTAATGGGAGATAAAAATGGGGGGTTAATTATCAAAACTCTTATTCTTAGGCATCCTGATTCCTTGGCAATGGGATATCCATAGAATGACATAAGTGTTTATTATTTTTATTTTAACCATTGAATATTCCACAAAAAAAGGAGTACTACGATAGTTCCAAAATCCGACTGTTCATCATCGCCGACATCGTGCAAAACCTATTTAGCGTCTCCGGAAACTTCTTCACCAGAAATTTGAGGTGAATTCTATCTTTTTTTTTCATTCATTGATTATTTAGTTTTTTTTTTCAAAAAATTGTGTAAGTTGATTCAAAAAAATAAAACCCTAATTTTGTGAAATTATATTAAGAATTTGCAAATTTATTATAGCATATGTATATATAAAAAAAACAATTTGGAACATGATTTTTTTGATTAAAAATAGTTACGTAACTATTTTAAGTAACTATTTGGGATTCAAATATTGACTTTTTTTATTCAAAATTTAATGGGTTTAACTGTGTTGCGTAATTACTCTTCTGATTTTAAGTATTCAATTCTTATAAGTCTGTTATTGACAACTTTTTGGTTTATGATTTTTTTGATTAAAAATAATTACATAACTGTTTTAATTAACTATTTGAGATTCAAATATAGACAGTTCATAATCAAAATTTTATTGGATCTAATTGTGTTACGTAACTATTCTTCTAATTTTAAGGATTCAATTCTTATAAGTCTGTTATCGGCAACTTTATGGTTTATAATTTTTTTAATTAAAAAAGTTACGTAACTATTTTAAATAATTATTTGGGATTCAAATATAGACAGTTTATATTTAAAATTTAATGGGTTTAACTGTGTTGCGTAACTATTTTTATGATTTTAAGGATTCAATTTTTTTATTTGTTATCGGTAACTTTGTTGATTAACTGTTGAATAGTTGTATCTTATTTGTGTTGTAACTGTCTTGAATATCTATTACTAAATTAAGCATATTGTTAACGGTTTTTTTGTCTCTGTGAATTAATTGATGTTCACATTCTTAATGGAGGTAAGTCAAAACAAGGCTAAACTAATTTCAATGTGGTATCTGTATGGCCATTTCAATGGGTTACCCAATTCAAATTTTGGGTATAGTATCTTATCAAGACTCAAACACAAGTAGCAATTCACCATTTTCAACACATCAACATTGATGTTGAAATAAATATTTGTGCCTCAAACAAGCAATATTGGATAATTCATCTAAGAATTTAGTTTTACATTCATGAGAATGTTTTGATATTTTCACTGCAGTAACAGTTCCTAATTCTATGAAAAAGGTTTAGTAAACAGTGCCAAATAATCCGTAAACAATGTCAAATGCTTTTTGTGGCTGACTTGAGCTCTTTGTATCTGAAAGCTCTTGGGGCTATAAAAACATTAATACAAATCAATTAATTAATTATCTATGTATTGGGAGAAAAACATAAAACAATAAAAATTTACAAATATACAGGATCCTTCCAAAATAGATATTGGCTGAAAAATTGCACACAATAGCATTTTCATTAAAACATAACTCTAATTAAAAAACAGTTACACCCATTAAAAATCAAAACAATTTTTTTCCCCGTTCATGCTAAAAAAAAGAACAACATATAACAATCTTTGATTAATAATTTGAGAATAAAATAAAACAGTTAACAAACAATGACATATTAACATTTTTTTCAAAAACATATATTAATGTCAATACCCAAAAATAATTACCCAATTTTAAAAACAGTTACACCCATTAAACTCAAAGCAGTTTTTTTTTTTTTTTTTCCGTTCATTCCAACAACGACCAAACATACACAAAAACGAACATATGAATTTTCCAAAAAAAAAAAATGATTGAATTGTAGAAGAAATATAATTTTTTTCTCTATACTAAAAATATTTACACCCATAAGAAACAGTTACATCCATTAAGATCAAAATAGTTTTTTTTTCCTCCATTCCAACAAAAAACAAACATAAAACAAAGATCGAACATAAAAATTTTCCAAAAACAATTGACCAAAAAAAGAAAAAATAATTATTAACAACTCGCCTTCAATCTGATGACGATAATTAGTATTTGCAATTCTTTTTTCAAAGAAAACCACCACCGGAGTAATAGATCACCGTTGAAGAAGACTTATCAGTTGAACACGTTGAAGAAGACTTATCAGTTGAACACATACGTTTGATTCAAAAAAATAAAGATAACAAATATATAAAGATTACATATTTATTTCCTAAAATAATTGTCAATAGATGCATAAATCTCTCACAAAACTGCTCATTCAAAATTCAAAAATAAAAAGATAACAAATATGTAATCTTTATATATTCGTTTCCTAAAATAACTGTCAATCATGACTGCATAAAATAAGAAAGTGTGTTTAAGTAAAAAGAATTTTAATTCATTTAAATTTTGTACCTAAACATAAAAAATATTATAAAAATTGTACTTAGTAGAATAAACCATTTACCCATACACTTTTGCTTAAATAAGAATTGAAAATTGTACCCATACCCAAAAAACCCCAATTTTTGATACGACACGACAACACGCTTTAAAATTAAAACACAATTAGTGAGTTAAAATTAACTATTTCTCAACACGAACTCGTAAATGATACAACTCGTTAACACAAATAATAAATAAATCAAATTATTGTCAAACAAGAATAACATGAAATTAATACAATTAACACGTTAAACTAGTATTATAAAAATAAAACATCAATTTTTATTATATTTTATCAAGTATTGACATAATTACTATAAAAAAAAATTTACTAATTTTTATTATTATATTTATGAAGTTAATTTTAATTTATAAAAAAATTATGCACATAGGTTTAATTAAGTGTCATTTAAGTTTTAGACTTAAATCTAAGTGTTAAATTTTTTATTCATGGTTTATATAAATCAATACAAACACGATACGAAAATAAATAGGCCGACTCTACTAGACACAAGTAGTTAAATGAGTTGAATTAGAGTTGATTAATGCTCAACACGAACCCGAATGACATAAACACGATACAACACGATTATATATCTATTGTCCTCCTCCTATTTGTTTAAACACATCCAAAACGGTGAACAATGCTTCTGTCGAGCATCTATCCAATGCAAACAAGTCAATGATCGGGATGTAAAATAAACGAACCTAACAGTTGGATAACATTGAAATGATCTAGTGTTGCAAAATCTCATTTATATTACACGAAAATGCACATCTGTATTTATAACCACCAAGTTACAGCCCAGATCTTTCCTTTCCCAAAACTCCTCAGTTTTTCTTCTTCTGAAAGACAGTTCAAGAAAGAAACAACAAATTGATGGAAAAAAAAAAACCTTTACAAAGATTGAACACTTACAAGTGAGAGTCAACATGCACAGTGAAACACAGAATTGCCACAGCAATTTGCTTTGTGTGTGAGCTTTCTCACGCCAGTCTCATTGTGAGAAGATCTTGCACTGTGAGAAGACAAATGAATTCTGTCCATTATGTTAATCGTAGGGGCATCAAGAATAGCCTTAGGCAAGGATAAGGCGCACTGCATGCCCCAAATTGCAAGTGGTCTCATGTATAGCAGAGACCGAAAGTGCCCATCAATTGTCCATGCCTCCGGAGTCTGAAATGAGTATCTGCAGAATGAAAAAAAAAATTGATGAATAGAAGCAAGTCAAGAAGGAATAAGGATGCGAAAAAGTGATGGTATTGACCTAAAAAGTAGTGTTCCTTGTACCCAAAAAAATAAATAAATTATGGCATGTAATTCAGCAAAATTCTCAGTTGAGATTTAAAGGGGAACATCCTAAACAAGCTTTCTCATGCATGTTACCAGAGGGTAGAAACTTCACTAAATTACAAATAAAAATGTGTTTCTATTCCGGTTTCACTAATAGGTTTACGTGGACTTTGTTATATACTATTCTTTTATTTTCACATATACCACATAAATGGACATAATACCTGCAAAATATGAATTATTGAGATAACAGCCAAGGATTACACACGACCTCATAGATACTGGATGGCAGATTTAGAACAGACTGGTTGGCTCATTTAAGGAAGAGTTCCATTCAACGGGGCATATCTACTGAAATTTTAGCTAGTTCATAAATAGTGCTCGTTGAATAGAAGCAGTCTTTATTCAAGGGAAAGAAATAGAAAATGGTTCTGCTTCTTGGCAAGTTCTGGAGTAGTACAAGATGAAGATATCCATTTAACACATTATGATCATATTCTAGTTATTTCATTGGCTATGCGAATATATATTTTTCTTGAGATCATCATTTTGAAATAATGCAGTTCCATAGAGTATTTGGAATTTCGAAAATACCCAAGGAAGAAAAAATCGAGATGAGATTATCATTTATCTGCCTTAGAGAATTGATATGCATAATACTCACCCGTATCCCTCCTCTGACCAGCCTGCAATGAATATACCTTCAGCTGTACTGAAAGCCTGCTCCTCCATCCCAGCAAGGATCATGTTAGCAGCAGCAGCATAGGTGACGCCAGCCCAAATCTCGCGTGATTGCATGCAAGTCTCATCCACCTTTCCATTGAGATGCATTCCATTTACAGCACCCATCCTACCTCCTCTAACTTTCATAACGTTAAAATCATAGATTTTTTGTAGAGCACTTCTGATTTTAAAATCATCGAAAAGATCAGGCAAGCCTGAAGATGCTGTATACCACTGTCCGGCTAGTTGATCAGCTTGGATTGATATACTGTTGCTGCTTGACCCACTGTCATAGTTAAAATAGGAACCATTCCAGAGTTTTGCTTCAAATGCTGACTTAGCCTTTATAAATTTGCCTTTGCATCTTTCAGCAAAGGGCTTGTCACCCAGTTGAACAGCCATTGCTGCCGCAGCTTGGAGTGCAGCAAGCCATAAGCAACCGCAATAAGCACTTATGCCATGAACTGTCCAAGTGTCATATGTTTGATCGGGAAATCCATCATTCTCAATGAGACAATCATTGTCCCTATCGAATTGCTCCATGTATTCAATTGCAGCACAAACAGAAGGCCACACATCAGCTCCAAATGAGAAATCTCCAGTAGCAGCAAAATCTCTGTACACCTGAAGCACAAACTTCGGGTTCAGATCCTTCCATCTACTAGTATCGTGTATATTATATGCATTCATTTCATGCCACGGGTCATGAGTTCCAAGATCATGAGGAACAGCTCCTCTGACCTTGCGGATTCCATAACTTCCCTCTGCCAGAAACTTCACTTTTCTCCTATCCTCACATAAGACAGCTTTTGCAAAGTCCCGCTGAATACTAAGTTCAATTTTGGGAAACAACTCAAGAAGGGCAAAAGATGCATAGAAGTGCACATCATATGTACACCACATAATATATTCCACCCCTTCCAAGTACAGAAACCAACCCACATCATCACTATCAGTGTGTGGGTCCAACAACTTCATAGGATTTGGATAACACTTGCCATCGCTTCTCTGAGGAATCATTGACTCATATTTATCAGAATATCTCATAACGCTTACTTCATTCCCAATCTCTAAACTGGCACTGGCTGTATGATCATAACCATCAACTGTTGCCTGTTCAACTAGTGCACTCTGGCTGCAATTCACTTTCGCTTCATCTACTTTGAGTTCTTTGTTCTCTGCGACTGCTTGATGATAAACACTCCCCAAGTCTGCAGCTGGTAAGGGAGAGTCTACATAGAAAATTCAAATCACCCATAGTGTTATCGCCATCCCCTCACATATATGCAACACAGAAAGATAGATATATATAGAGAGATAATAGATACACACAAAAGAGAGAGAGAGAGAGAGAGAGACTACAATTATCGAATTAAACCAACCTTGATTCTAGTGAAAAAGGGGGTAAAGACTACATTTGTGGACAATTTAATATTGTTAACTCAATCATCTTCTACATAATTACCCCTGCATTTCTTTGAATTTTCAGCAGTTAAATCACATTGGGAATAACAGTGGATGCCACATAAGATGGCAAACGTAAGCATATTACTACCAGCAGCAACAACCACAACAAATTTGAGACCCTATAGGCTATATCTTTAGTACCAAAATACAGAGTATCCCAAATACAGCTGCATCAAGAAACTCCTCTCTATCTCGCTCTCTCCCTCCCTCCAAGAGAACTGCATCCCCAAAATACACCCCTCTCCCTGTGCCGTAAACACCATGCCAGAATGACTATGGCATACCAAAGTTGCAAACTTACCAACTACTAGCAAAATGTAGAGCAAGAAGACTAGCGCTTGTGCTTGTATAAGGATGCAATTGAGAATCTATTTGCAGTTAGAGAAGCAGTAGAATAACTAAGCAATCAAGTACAGATGATTACCAATCCATACAGTCCCACCAGCAACCAAGAAATACAGCTCATTAAATAATGTAAATTTGTACCTGCAAAAGAACAGATGGATCATTGTTAGCACATTAATGGAGTCAAGACAGGCTCCATACAGACCAAAGTTGTGAAGATTCTCAGCATTACAGCCAAGATCTGTTCAGGGATTCGCTAATCAGGTTGTCCATATGCTCAGATCAGCAAGTACACATTGATAAGGCTACTTAGCAGTACTAAAGTGAAGTGGGTACAAAAAACATCTAAACTGATGCTATTACTCATTTTAGAATAGGATATTGTGGAAGAATATGAAAGAGGGGGCTAAGAAGTGATTCACGTAGTGCTAAACCTATGCAACAAGAACATGGATCTGAGTGTTAATATTCCACACAGACATGGTATCTTCATATAAGCGATATAGATGCCACAATGTGTGTGCATATGTGTGAGTGTTCACAGAGACAGGGTTTCTGTGATGAGAAAACATAAAGTTGACACACATGTGCATTTGGAATCATGCCAAATGATATTTGATGCATTTAGATTCCGAGCCTTGACCCCTAGCAAACTAAGTCAAGACTGCAAGCCTGCGGATGTTATACAAAGCCTCAATTCATAATGAGTTTCAATTCACCAACATAGCACCCAGCTAAAAACAAAGACAATTAACAGTTCCATCTCATCTTACCATTCTGGTAGCCTGTCATCTCTCAGGATAGGGCTTTGCCATTTCTCAATGTCCTCTTCCCACCGCTTGTAATCTGATCGAAAATTGAAGACAACAGCAGGTTTTAAATTGCAGTGGATCCTATGTTGAGAACAATTCTAAAAGCAAGTACAGAATCCGACCTTAACCACAAAGATATAAAGATCACAATCCGAGAGGAAAATCTTGAGAAGTTATTATCTAATTTAGTTGATGATAATGAGGTGTTTAATAGGGTAAATGCATGGCTTGAAAGAGAGTTCAGCAGATGCGGGTGAGTTGTACTTACTCGCTAGTGCATCATGCACCAAGTGTAAAGCAGCCCTTTCAGAAGTGCCGTAGTACTTGGTGTACCTCCTGCAACAACCCCCAAATTAATAAATGAAAAGGAAGAAGCCAAGAGAATATTCAAGAAGAAGAACAAGAAAGTTTACCACAAAGTAGGTATACTGGCAGTATCACATCAAAATTTTATGGATATTATCACGTGTTTAGTGGTTAGGTTCCACAGAAAAGTATGCAAAAGAAAACCAAAATGCTTTACCCTGAGTGCAAAATCAATATCCATAACACAGTCATATTTTCCCTGTTTAAGGCCCCATTTTTTGATGCATCTTGATTGAGAAACTTTCCGAATTCTTGAATTACAAAAATAAATAATAGAAAACACCGATTCTTGAATTCATGAATTATTCATGTGGTTCTAGGTATTAATACCCCCTTTACTCCAACCTCCAAAAGAAAACACCTTATAATACAAAGCAGCAAACAGAATACCGAAATAATATAGATTTCTTTTATAATGATATGTACAGGAGCAAGGTTACAACTGTAGTGTATAGATACACTCAGCCATGTACAGGTGTATTTAAACATTATCAGTTCCCAAAAATTACCTATGATATGATTTTCCTTTCAAAAACTTTACTTCCGGAGATGACCATGAAAGCGCAAATGCAACAGTGCATTTTCCATGTGGTTCAACACATGTGGAAGCAGAAACTGCAGCACAGTGTGTCTCTCCAGGTGACGATGACCTGTATGGTCCAGCACTGAAATTCTCCGGATCGAAGTGTCCATCCTTAAGACACATACACATAAGCCAAAAATTAGAAAAATATGCATGAACAAAAATTAGCAAAAGGAAATTTCTGATACAACAATCAAATGTTAAAGAAAATCATGACTCAGACTAGGTAAAAACATACAGCAACATGTAGCAAGTGCACAACAGTTTCATATAGAAATCAGAAGAGTAAACACTACCTGCACCATTTTATCCCACATATCCTTTGCTGTGATGCAGCTGCCTTCTGTCAGACCAAAACAGGGCAAAACAGTAACATTCACATTTTGAGTTTCACATGCAGCTATCGCAAAAGTAACAGGAGGATTGTCTTTTGAAGTCCTGCAACCCATGCATTATCATCAGTAAGAAGCAACCCGTTGTCATAGAGTTGATTGCACCAAGCAGAATGGTGCCTAACCCAACATGAAAATATACATATTGACTAGGTGCAAAAAAGTGTAGGGTTCCGCACATCTGTGAGAGAGAGAAGAATAGTTTTCCCATAGAATTATGCACAAGGGTCACATGATATATTCCTATAAAGAACCTGGCAAGGCACTTGAAAACAGCCAATATATCTAGAACCAAAATTTCATAAATAACACACTTTAACGAGAATAAAGGATGGCCTAGCAGTTCAATTCACTTGTCAGCTAGAAAGCATGGAAACAGACACGGGTGTTGTATCTAATATGATACGGACACGGCGATATGACAAAGTTTCAAAATATAAGACATAAATATGGCAAGGATACGACTAAGTAAAATAATATTATATATTTTTTATATAAATAACATTAATAATAAGACCCTAAAATCATCGAGTAGTTGGTTAATATTTTATAATTGAACAACGGGCTAATATTAAGTTGGATAGTCGATTAATATGTTAGAATTGGACAGTGGACTAACACCAAATTTAAATGTGGCCTTAGACCAAAGTGAACTGTAGGTGACAACTAAAAATTATACCAACAAAAAAAAAAAGAAAAATATTAAAAAAAAAACATGAATGTTTTTTTTTTTTTGCCGGTATTGTCTCTGTTCAATTGAGACTAGAGAGAGAGAGAGAGAGAGAGAGAGAGAGAAGAAAAAGAAAAAGAGTCCTAGGGCAGCCGACACCATCTCAAGTAGCAGGAGGAGAGAGAAACTTGAAGCAGATTGTCGAAGTAGATCATCGAACGCACATCGTCGAAGCAGATTCGGTATGTCCCTTCACCTCTTCTTCTCTACTTTTTGTCAAAGCAGATCTTACAAATCGTTGAAATTTCCTTTTTTTTTTTTTTTCCCCCTCCCCTTATTTTCAGCCCCTTATCCCCCTGTATCGTTACATATCCGAGCTGTGTTTGGCCACAAAAAATCTCTATTCACTGTTCAAGACACCTTTAGAAGTGTCAGACACGCGTCTGGCCGTGTCATACGCGTATCCGTATCGAACACGTGTCCAACATCGCCACGTCAACCTCCCGCCGAGTATCCGTGCTTCCTAGCTTGTCAATGCTCTGGGTTTAAGCCCCACTAAAGTTGGTGTTCTCCCCACTCCAAAGTTGTAGTTTTCCATATATTTTTTTAAAAAAAATAGCCACATCTCAATGCCATACTATATGTTCATGTGCAAGAGAAAAAGAGCACAGAGAAAGTATGAATGAAGGAAATGGAGCATACATAAGCAAACTTTCTTGGGTAAAGTTGAAAAAGGTGAACTAAAAGAACCATGGTTTCAGAAGTCCAAGACACCCTTGAAGGTATAAGTATTTGCATGGTTACTTGCACATAAAAAACACAGCACCAATGACATGATTCTGAAAAGAAGGCCATTGCTTTGCCTTTGTCCACCGTGGTGCATTATGAGTAAATATGTGGGAGACTGCATGAATCATTATTCTTACATTGTCCGACATCTTCACTTTTATGGAATATATATTATCAATTGTTGAGATTCCTTGGGTGAAACTGAGTAGTAGTGAATAATTGTTCATTATAAAATTTGATGGTTTTGGTTCTACCAGCAAAGCTAAAATTTTACAGAAAAGTGTGGTATTGGAATTGTTTTGAGTGCTATGGTTGGAGAGCAATGGAATAACCTTAGATGAAAGAGTGGATTCCTTGGACAAAAAGTGGGAAACAATCTCTTTTATGGCACCCCTATGGACATCTACTTCAAAAGAATTTGAACAGACTCCACTATACTTGATAAAGATCATTGGATAAAAGATCATTGGACACAAGTGTGAAAACGAACTTGACATGGTGATCTCTGTATTATTGTTTTTACCATGTTTAATTTTCCATATTTTTCTCTTCCTTTTTTTGTACCAGTAAAGGACTACTTGTTCTCATTTGAAAGCTTGTCATATTATTAAAAATAATCTTTGGTTTACGGCCAAAAAAAATCAAACTACTGTGATACAAAGCAGATTTTTGATAAAATGACCACTTACAACATAAAAGACAACAATAGATCGACATCAAATTTGAGGTCTTTGATATCAATTAGATCAACATACATCAAGCCAAGATGTTAACTGAATTTCGGAAGTCTGAAGTTAACTGAGTTCGAAATCAACTACTACCTTGAAATCAAGCTAGTCTCTAAATTGCCCTCAAGCACAAACTGCTTGAGATAGATATAGGTATGCAACTCTCCATACTAAAGATCCGGGGACACTTTTGCTATTGTTATCTGAATATGCGGGAATATATTTAATAACTTGTGAAGCTTGAATATGTAAGTAACTTCAATTCCACTATCCGTATTTGCATGTTTCTTTTGGAATATGGGTAGATCAGGTAGCTTATATTTGCATAATAGTTTCACTAACCAAAATGCCAATCATCATACAATTAAAGTAAAGACACAATGAGGCCTCAGATTGATTAAATTATTCGAACAAAGAAGTTGTAGAAAACAAGAATAGAGAAATCCAAGAGAAATTCAAGAGAAACTAAGTTGTTGGTTGTATACCCCAAACATGATTACCCACTTAGGTTAACAGGGTCATTACCTAATTCGATCCATCAGTCGATGTGGTTGGGAGGGTTGACGGTGTGCAAAGTTACAAACTGAACCTTAAGCATTATTTGAACTTTAGCATTATATACACCAAGTCGTAACCTAATATTAAAACCCAAAATTGTATTAGCTCGTCACTTTTACTACTACAACGGGCAATGACCCCAAACAAATTAATTTTTAATCACTTATTTAGACATTTCATACAATAACCAGAACCAATCTAATTTAATTTTGTTCTATAATAGACAGAATAAGTTTCGTACTCCACCCGGCCCACGACCTAAATGAGTCCAAACTATTCAAAGGTGTATACCATGTTTTTCTACAATCTAATATCACCTGCTATTAAGATGGTGGATAAATTTAACCTTCAAACTAGATGACTTGAAGCTGGAGTTCCAGTTTACATGTTATCTGGAATTATGAGACACTTTGTACCAGCTCGAGATACTTAAAGAATCCCGCCCCAAGTAACAAAAAAGTATTTCGAGATATTTCAGCATGTTTCCACCAATGTTTCGAAATATTTTGAAGCATTTCAAAATGTTTTGGTATATTTCGACTAGTGTTTCGAAATGTGTTGGAAAACATATTCCCAAAATTTTTATCCATTTCCATCATGCTTTCCGCAACATTTTCGAAACATTTCTAAAACGTTTATGTTGCCCAAGTGACCGAAATAAACCGTAATAAAATTTTGATCCTTGGGTACATGTGAAATAACATATACTTCTAGAGAGAGAGAAAGAGAGATACAGGTCCCGTTCTACTCAATTAAAGCATCTTTGAAAATATTATATAATAACTGGTGCTTTGATAGAATTGGCTCCAAGATTCAAATCTGATGACTACTTAAACCCCCAAAAAAATGCTAAGACAAATACTTACATGCAGGCTGCTCAAAAAACTGGAATAAATTATTTAAAATACGCCAAGTCAAGCCTGACTCAGAGAAGAACTGCTACCGTACTCAACAGAACCATTCAATGATTCAAAGACTGACAAACATAATTCAACAAGTGTAGAAGTGTCCTCTGCCCAATTCAGTACGGGTACTTGGATGTTAATGTTCATTCACAATGTCGACAATTCCAGACCAAGACATTTCCATCAACCAGATCGCATGAACATCTTAAGATGGACAACATTTTGGAAACAACATTATATTGGTAAATAGTTAGGATGCACACCATTCGTTATACTTGTTGAGGCATATTCATCTATCGTAAAAAGAGCTCTGTTTTATTTTATAGATTTCTATTCCATGTTTTCCTTTTTTTTCTTTTTGCATTTGAGATTTGATTCCAATTTAGCGACACTAATCTGCATGAAACAACTGTGTGTGCTTGACCTGAAATTAGCCTATTCATCAATGGCAATTAAAAATTACCAGCTTCAATTGAGGAATCAGAAGGCATGTAAAGTACAAACACCTTGCCTTTACTATCACCTATAAAACACTGAAATGACAAAAGAAAATCTGCAAACCAACCGTCATATTTAGCTATTAAGGTTTGATGACTTGCTTGTGATGTAGAAGTACACCAGAGACTCCATCTTCTCCTCTATGAGAAAAGAAATGGAAAAAGATAAAAGGAAACATCAAAATCAATAGTCAAACAGTAATGGAACTAAATACAAAAAAAAAAAAGGCACAAACCACAGATACTAACATGAATGGCTCATTCACATGATCTCCTGAAAGGTGTGATATTCCTCCAATTGAGTTCTGTGAAAAACAAAAAATGATGACTGAAGAAAAAGACTCATAATGCATTATTCTATGGCTTCAAGCAATGTCAGCATTAGCAGCAGAAAAACTCACCGCCCAGGTAAAAAGAAGGCTAACTTTTGCCCTTTCCTTCCCAGTGTTCACCAACTACAAACAAACAAGCAACAGTTGTGTGAGCAAAGGACAGAGTGAAGATCCCCTCAGGACTCTTGTATCAGATAATTACAAAAGGATATGATTCAGTTAATTGCCTTCATCAGTATGTTAGAACAGGTGACAGAACTTTGGGATTCATTAACAATTGATTAAAAAGAAGAATTATAACAAAGACATACAGTAGTAGTACCACAGCTCTTCAGGTCATTAGATTACAGAATTGCAGATGACCTATGGCAATCAAGGAGAATCACATGATAATTTACTGGGGTCAAACCTTAATGGCAGAAAAGATGCAAAGATTGGATCCCAGACTTGTAGTTCTTGATTTGCAATGCAAATTTAAGTTACCAGCATATTTCACAGGAAATTGAACATCGAAAGCATCACATGAAATATTTACACAACTCAAGAAAAGAAAACATCCCCTGACATGTGGTTTATACAAAGAGGAAAGCATTGTATTAAAAAAAAGTTGCAAGGGAGTCAATCCCCAGAAATGTAGTGCATAAAAAGTGGAAAGCATTGTATTAAAAGGAAATAGTTATGAACAAAAGAACTACCATAAATCACACTTTTGGAGAAACTACAAAGGAAGGGATACCTAAGCAATTCGTGTATGATATAAGGTATACACTCTTGTACAATGTTTCCCACAGATTTCACTGCCAAACATATGCAAATAGAAAGCAAATGGACATTTATGCAGATAGTCAATAGTGACAATCCAGTGGTACTATAAGCCAGCACACTGAGGAAAACAATCAATGATCAGATATCACCGGCAATATGTGGAAAATTGAAGAAGAAGAAGAATAGTATAATGGATATAACAGCTAGAAGATTCGACTATCTTCTCTGTCATATTTATATTAAATCCTCGTAGACAACTTCTATCAACTTAGATGGGAATGTAATACCTGATTTTACTTAATTCAACCTATGGCAAATCTTAATTTGCACCCTTGAGCAATTAGAAATTTTAAACTAGTTGACACGACTCTTTTTGCCAATCCTATCATATCATTAAACAAAAAGCTATAGACTCTAACAAAAGGTGCCCCTCTTTACACCTTAAAAACAAGGGTTAATAACAATTTGCCCCCTTCAACTATGCCTTTGTTACAATCAGCTTCTTGTGGTTTCAAATGCTGCAATTTGCCCCCTCTAAGTTTTAAGTGGATTAAATTGACTAACAATGGTGGCTGAAACATGAAAGAACCATTACACTCTCCACCTTGTACATTATTTCCCATATTTTTTTTCCTTGAGATACTAATTTTGTACCAAAAAAATAAAGAAACAGAAAAGTCAAAAGTTAGAACAAAAATTCCATCTGCTCAGCCAAAACCAATACACTACACAACACCATGTTCGCCTTCTCCTTCGCATCCACCTTTTTATAGGGCAGGGAGGGTTTCTACGGGAAAGAGGAAGGGAATGAGAGTTAAGCGTCTAAGGGGAGGACAGGATGGAAGGGTTTTGAGTGTGGGCAGTTGTGGTTCTAGTTGGAGTTGTATGGATATTTAATACATGAAAAAAAAAAACTCTTGCAGCGGTAATTATATCTTTTCAACAAAGTAGAGATCGTGTGAACTTTACATGTCTAACTTGGGTCAATTTTTATGGTTTTAAAATTAATTGTTGGATTTAATTGCAAAGTATTCAAACTTAAAAGGGGCTATTTGCTGAAATCAAAACTTGAAGGAGTGAATGGAAAACTATCCCAATTTGAAGGGGGCATGTTTGTAATTATCCACAAAAACAATCTAAAAACTGCATCAATCTTGACACCCAAGGAACCAACAGAAGGGCATGAACAAGCCATCCGCAAGAGCTGTACCTTGGTAAAATTTGTTAATAATGCAGACAGGTTTCTTCGAAAAATATTTACCTACATAGAAAATATCATTTATAATTTCTACCGGAGCCTCTTCACCTTCTCTGCTTTTGCTGTGCTTGATCATCTTAGTTATTCTAGTACAGACTTTATGAGAGTCCATCCAGTAACTATTCCATGTTAGCATGCTCTCTCAATGTGACCAATGTTTGGATTTACCTACCACATAGTAGTCAGGGACTCGGGGCAGACAAAACATTTCACTTGCATCATACAAGCACCTAAATCATTGCAACCTAATCACAAAAATTATGACACACCATTGGACTAACCGATGGTTCCATGAAAAAACTCTAAATGGAAAAGAAAGTAGGATTACTATCATATAACAAGCATATTTCATAAAAGAAGTAAAATTTGCATACTGTGTAAACAAAAACAGCAGTAGGAAGACTGCTCTCTCGATAATTATGTGGTATGAATGGTGATATTTGCCGACAAGACACTTTTAACTCGGGGTCTGGTTCACCTGCAGTCAAGAAAAATACAATTAGAACAACGTTGTGAGATGGATGTCTGTTTGTTTGGACCAAGGGATAGATAAAGCACACCATCATATATAGTCCATGCTCTTGGAAACAATGCATGATACGTGGAATGCTGACCACTCAAGTTCCAGCCCCATGATGATATATCATGATCCCCAGATTTCCTGTCAAATAAAGATGAACAAAAGCAACAATAAGCACCATCTTAAGTTATTTTCCATAGGCTTTTAACTCCAGAAACATTTCCTGACGTGTGTTTGGATTTCAATGTTTCCAATCGCTTCGCTCGTGCTAGGTATGCAATTTTCATTGGTAGAAATATTGCTGAAGACATGAGAGCCACAATGATCACAGACATTTGGCATTTCCATAAAAATCCAAAAAACACCAAAAATCAATATCATCTACTTCGTTCGTGACTTCCCCAAACAGCCCACCCCAACCCCCCAAAAAATGGAAAGTAAACAACTCCATCACGATCATCATTTTAGACCTACAATTCCATGAAAAAGGCATAGGAGACAATCTAAGTCTACAAGATATCCACATGCATATAAATCATAATAAATCTAATTTACTGTTCACAATTTAATAAAGCCAAAAACAACAGATCACCTTTCAACTTTAGCATCACAACGAGAGCATGAGATGTTAAATTGATATAAGTTTCTTGGCTTGCTTTGTCCATTTTCACATGCCCAACCATCTCACAAAAATGTTGCTTATGCATAGACAAGGTAGGATGCATATAAAGCCAAAACATATTTCACAAAGTGACTTCCTTGCACTTCTGAAAAGCTAATAACAACAAAAACACACCAGAGACAACGAGGATAGTAGATTGTATGCGACATAACCATAGAAAACCAGGGAATATACAATCGGTGCTGGTCTCTACAAAATACAAAATACAAAAATTCAAACACAATAGTTCAGAAGTCCGCATTCATATATGCTAGCTCATTCTACTAAATTAATTGGATAAATTTATAGCATTTGCTCCAGTAAAAGTTGAGTTCTAAAGTTACCAAAGGAATGCATTTCTCTTGGGTTGTAGAGACGAAATATTGGGAGTTTCAATACTCTTCTTTCTTAAACTAATACACTAACTTAACAGAATGGAGTTAACTTCATAACAAGGGAACCAGAAACACAAAAGTTATGCTTGTGAGTAGAATGTATTATGCAAAGTGCAAACTTCAAAAAAAAATATTACTCTAGAATTATCATGCGCCAAACTTTGGAAGTGAAAAAGAGTGATAACCCATGGAGCCAAACCAAAATTTTGCATCAGGATCAGAAACATAAAAAACAGCCAGAAGCAAACCTGGTGTCAGTCATACAAACAAATAGCACAATCACACAAAAGCTATTACAACTTTGCAATTTGTGGTAATTGGCATTTGTACTTATCTTACTTTGTTTAAATTTACAATCCCCCTAGTAATGCTGGTTTTTTCAGTGAAACTTCAATTTCTCTCTAAAAAGGATTATATTTAAATAAGTTATGCATTATTCATCATGTCATATTGATGTTCTACTGTCAAACTAATAAAAATGTTTATTTTCCTATCAAAAAAACTCCTCACTTTATAAAATCATTTTTAAATCATCGTTGAACACAATTCGTGACAAGTATAACATTTCAATATACTCAAAATACGAAAATAAAAAATTGTAAGTTATTTTCTTACCCTAATCCTTCATGTTGGCCCGGGGATAAAACTGATGCGAATCTTTTATTTCCACCATCTCGAGATACAAAAATCTGTAGTACCAAAAGAATGTAACAGAAGATTCAGATAAAAATTTTATATGCTCAAATATGAAAGCGTAGCACCTGTGTTTCATTTCATATAATAAGAAACAAACATAACCTGATTAAGTATTATAAACAATGGCTACTTTCATGACAAAACTGGCTATTTAAAAGCCTAAGCTGGTAAAGTGTCATTAGAGAATAAGGATTAATAAATGACTGCTGCTACCCTGATAAATCTGGCTACTTAAAAGTAGAAGCTGACAAAGAGGTGTGTAGTGTGTACTGATACAATGCAACTCTCTCGTCCACGTGTGGCCAACATGAATGGGCCAATCCACTTAAACAAATTACATATATTAGGGAGACGAAAAGGTTTGAACCCAAGGTTGCCCTACTTTGAAAATAAGTGAAATACGAGCTACTTTTATAATTTAAACTTCCTCAGCAGTCGTTACAGATAGATCCCATGCAATAATTAACATAAAAAATATTATCCTTGCACAAAATAAAAAGAGATTTAACATATAATTGAGTATGATTATAATAACTCCTTTCCAACGATGCCAAAAACACCTTGGCAAAAAGACAACATGAAACTTTTTCCATAGGCCAATTACTCACTTCAAGGGATTCATTTTGACGTGCCAACTCAGGTTGTATAAAGAATTGCAAAACAAAAACATTTTTAACAGTTAATGATTTTCATAATTTAGTTATAGAATTGATATATAAATATTCATACACATATATATTCCAGATTTACCAACTTTCTTATGTCAAAAGAGGAAGGATGGGGTTGGAAATGGAGCGGATCAGGTTGAGCAGCTATATTAATACAATGAGTGAGAAACCTTATAAACATATCCAAACCCTATATATATATCGATTCCAGATTTACCATCCTTCTTATGTCAGTCAAGAGCGGATCAGGTTGAGCAGCTATATTCATAATGCAAATGGGTGAGAAACCTTATAATCATATCCAAATGCGATCCACCCAACCCATTTAGTTTGGGAAATTATTTTGGACATTTGAATAGGAAAAAAACTATTTCTCCTTTTGGAAGGATGGAAAATTGGATGGATGGAAAAGTGTGAGGAATAAATTTTTCATCCTTTGATGAAAGAACTCCTTTGTGTTTAGTACGATAGATTAAAAGTTGGAAGAATTAATTTTCTATTGTTTGGTATTGGAGGAAAAATTAAAGGAAAGAAAAGATGCAAGTACTTTAATTTATCATTATACCCTTACATATAAAATGATTTTTTTATTATTAATAAATATTTCAAGATTTAAAAATTTTAACGTAGCTCTTTTTTGTTATAAAAATAAATAAATATTAATATTGATAACGGAAATAAATATACTATCGTGAAAGTTGAACAAATAATACAACTTTTTTCAATCACAAATTAGTTTAATTGACTTCCTTTTGTTGGTCATGTAGTGGTTGTTGGTGTCAAAAAAAAGTTGAATACGTGTATAGGAGAGTTAGAAGAGGGTAAAAAGGTCAAATTAGCATGTGTTGGCTTCAACTTTCCAACTCACATTCCGCCAATGTTTGGGGTGAAAAGTTTTGGTTGGCAGAAGGAAAGGGATTCCCTCCAACTTTCCACTCCCTCATATTTCCATTGATACCAAACCAAACAATGGATAACTTTTCCTTCCTCCCTCTTTTCCTTCCCCCATTTTCCATCCACCCAACTTTCCACCGTACCAAACACACACTAAATCAAATCAATATTATAAGATACTTATTTCTTTAATTTGCCAGTGCCTGTCCTTTCAGGGCCCTTTTTGGTAAGAATATTATGTACATAGATATGTTTTATCCACATAGTGACTCATAAAACAGTTCAACAAATGAATGAACCTGACCGACTCAATTCAAGGTTCCAAGTCCCAACCCAGGCCCTCAAAATAACAGGTTAGGTCAAGATTCATCACCATTAATATACATAATGCAACAAACTAACTCGATGTGTAATTACATAAACAATCAGAAAAATCTTCAAAGTAAATTCATAATAATTTATGGAGATTTATCTCATCAAAGGGAAGCTATATGAAACAACCATCAGCTGGTCATGCTTTACGGTATAGAGATTTAGTAACTAAGAAACAAAACCATTCAGAAATTACAATTAGAAACAAACATATTCATGTAATAATACAGTAGCATAAATTGGACACAACTACAAAAGAAAAAATTAAGATGTTTCGACATATTCAAAGAAGTCATAAAACTGACCTAGTAAGGAAAACTGATGTCATACATGTTGATGGTAATGCTAGGATAAAGGTCGACCCAAATTGACATCGACTATGATGGTGAAAAAATATATAAGCTTATAATCTAACAGAAAACATGTTGATAGAGAAATGAGCTGATTTAAGCAGTCATACCATGAGAATTACCCAAGACAATATACTATATGTTGTCTAATTATGTTCTTGGTTTAACAGGCTTTATAAATAGTCTGACATGTTCAATAGCCATAGTGAGATCATCACCGGTGGCATACGCAGAGGAGGCATATGCGGTGTCCAGTCATATTGGTAGGGATCTCTATGCCACCTGTATTTTGTTATCCTACTGCTTAGCAAAGAAAACCAAAGTCACAGACAGACCCTGCTAAATCGTGATGACTCTCTTCAACTGTGTATATATCTCTTTTAACGACATTGGTGTCCTACAGTACACAAGGGTCACTGGTTCAATGATTAAAATTTGACACCATAACCTTGAAATTGTGGGTTCGAATCTGAGGGAAAGCACTAGTGGCCCAAAGTTAGGTCTATCCCCTCCCTCTTAAACCCCTATTAATGGGGTCTAATTTATTGTTATTTTTGCTCTTTTTTTTGGTCCTCTACATCTCGTCATCATTAGCCCATTTCCATTTAAGTTATATCTAAGTTATGAGCTTAGAAGATGGCACTCATTTCTCAACTAAACCTAAGATGTTTGACATCATACAAACACTGAATGACATGCTTCTACGAGCTTCAAAACTCACACTGGCTAGCCAAAAGGACAACCCTCACTTACCAATTAACCTGTTTGTTTTGTGTGTGCTGTTGGGGAGGAGGAATCAAATAAATTGATCCATCTGAAGGCTGCTCCAAAATCCCTAGCTAAATCATTAATGTAAATTATCTATTACCCAACGCGTGAAACTACACTCATTAATGTACATATTCTTGGAATCATAAATCATACATAATACGTGAGCCACACTTTGTAAACCCTTTTCTTAAGAAAACAAGTACTCTTTTTCAAAACACATCTCAACTCTGGTGAACAAAGGTCTGAATATGAACTTGACCACTTGCTAAGTTTGGCTGTAAATGATCAGTCATATCAAAACCACAGAATGAAAATTACTGCAAAAGTGTTACACTCCCAACAGTGGTGATTATCGAAGTTAGCCCACACCAAGTATTAAAGTTCCAGTTAACTCTTTAGTTATTAACAGCCAAACATTGAATAAAATTCCAAGGAACTATCAATTTCAGTATACCTCATATGGGATTACGATGATACTGTTGCTTATTCCCTGTTAATTATATAGTTGGCCATAGATATCCAACATGCAATAAGATTATATTTCAAGGCCTCCTCTTCTTTCTTGATAAATCAAAAAGATTTTATATCATGAAGGTGCAACGCAAACTGGTTAACACTTGGAGAGGTAGCTTTCTGAATTTAAAGATTCTATTTTGTAACATTATCCAAACGTCAAAGCAACTCTTCATGCTTATCTTGAAGTTTCCCAGAGTATTTATGCATAAACCAATCCAGCGCCTACTAGACGTCTCATACAATCTACTTGTAAGTTTGCTGTTTTTCATCTTTTATGACTGCAAAATCTAGTGTACTAGGTCTAAAATTGCCCAAAAATTTTTGAAATTCCTTAGTCCACAACTTCTTCCTACAGGAAACGACAGTACTTGAATATCAGTCATGTCTCAGACAAAGTTCCAAAGACAATAAAAATAACACTACAATTTCCCAGACAACACACAGGAAAAAAAAAACAGATATCCAAGACAACTTTTACGTTTTGTTTCATGCTCCTACGGAACAGAAAGATTCCAATCGATGCGCTGTGAAACACAAACCATTACATACAAAACGAGATTCACATATATCAAAAAATATAAAATGTAAGCAATTCAATAAACACACAAAGCAACAGATAACATCCACATCTCAATGGCAGTCCAGTAGCTGAATAGTAACTAGCATATGATAAGATCAAAGGCAGAACTTTACAGAGAACTGATTGGCCATGATAGGAGAAGCCTCACATGCCCCGGGAAGAATTTGAAAATGCCTGAATTCACCTCTAAAACCTCTAGATATGCTTCCACTCCTGTGACATAAAGTTCCAATCAGACACAAATTTCTTTGTTGCAGTGCAAAAAGAACAGTGTCCCATAGTTTACCCACTGGAACACTACTTACCCCATCCCTCCAAGTGGAACCCCGTGGGATGCTGATGGTTTGCAATTTTCTCGAGTGAAAGGATCAATAGGTGCTTTCTGCACGAATCAGTGCAGTTACAGTTCAAATTAAAAAACAAGTCCAAGAGGACAGTTGTTTAAGTATCCAACAACTTTTCATAGAGGAATAGCTGTTGTTATCTGACTTCAAAATGTTAGGAAACTCAAAATAGTATTCCTTGATAGAGGGGAAACCCAAATATTAAGACATGAATAAAGTTGATACCCTCCCATGGGCAGCCTCTTTCCTTATATAAGACCACAAACGGATGCCTAGTCGAACCTATATTAAAATTCAAAAGACCAACCAACAATGAGAACCATGGAGTATTTATGCATACTTTGAATCAGTATGTAGATTCCAAGGAAGAAAGTGATTACCATTTTTATTGCTTCCACAAAAGTGACACTGAATTCTTTAAGAATACTGGCATGGCTATTTAATCTTCTTCTCCAGGCATGTTCTGGCGGGGCAGCACTATCAAAATCGAACTACAGCGACAGAATCAGAGAAACAGTCAGTCAAGAATACTAAAATGGATCCTGATTCAAGCTATAGGCAAGAACGAACAAAACAATATTTGAAGACAGAATTACTCCTCAAGAAATTTAGCACTTCCTACGACAGATGCTCCCACCCACCCTTAAGATTCCAATATATTTTGTAGTGAATAATTGGTTACCGTCCACATCTTATCTCCTACTTGACAGATAAACAAAAATGCTTCTCTCAAACTCACTCAGGCCTGATTTTGGATTCTAATTCAGGTGGAAACACAATCAACATCTTTGTTATCAGCTTTGACCCCAAAGTCGAGATAGTAACAATCATGAATTACAACCTTAGAGGTCAATATGACAGAACATAGGGGCAACAAACTCTTCAAGAAGAATCAAGGGGATTCTTTATGTACCCACTTCAAGAATTATGTCTTCGCATCAAAAGAAACTATCACCTCAACACTTAATCAACATAACAACTCCAAAAACCAAAGATTGCAATAGCAACATCTCCAATCATAACACTACATAATTAATGTGAGAGATAAAATCAACGAGAAACCAACAGTACATGGAATCTGAAAGCAAATTTGGCCCTCAGTAAGTAGAAATTTTAAGGCAAGATACGCATAATCTGTTGAACATGACAAACTGACCCTGTTGCTTACTTTCCAAATAATTCTACTTTTAAAATTTCCCCAGTTGGCTAAACATAAAACAGAAATAACAAACCAAAACCAAAATACATGGCAAATAACGATCAGAACCCGACCATAACTGCTCTGTTTTAAAACAGTTGTAGAACACAGCACACTGTCAAAAAACAAGACATGATACTTACCAACTGTAAGGTAGCCCGGCTGATATACTCCTCCGTTGGCCATGAGTTCTTTCTACGAAGGAACAAACTTCCACTAACCATGTCGGCTAATTTGATTATATTCTATAATTACACCACTAAAAAAACACTCGAATTCAATCTAAAATTCTATCTCTATGCAACACAAAGGCCTCAGAACCATTCAAAACTCCACCCTTCACAAACTCCGATTCCCCCATAACCAGAAAACTCAACACACACACCCCAATAAGTGACTTCAAGTCCAAACTACATTCCAAAAGCCCAAAAAACGCCTTGTTTTCAACGATCTTCGACTTCAATCGTCCAAAAACCACACCTTTCAAGCTAATTCATCACCTCTCTCTCTATATATATATTCATACCGGTCTCAAAGTGTAAGCAACTGACTCCTACCATCAAATTCCAATGCTAAAACGTCGAGAAGTAGGGTTTTGAGCAAGTAGTGATCAAGTAGATCAAAGAACGCAAAATCCGAGCCTGGCCAAACCGTTAATCAGGATCGAATTCCTCGGGTATCAGAATCCAATTATAAAACAAAACAAAACAAAATATTGGTTTTGGAATTTTCAATAGAATTGAAAGGTGATGAAGACAGAGAACTCCACAGAGAAACGAACACATGTAAAGAAAGGCCTCTTAACTCTTCCTCACAAGTTGTCAAGTGGTGAAATTATGGTTTCTCTCTCCAAACCTCTACGCACACACACATTTACTTTCTCTCTCTACATGTGTGTGTATGTGCAGTGGGGAGAGAGAAAGTGAAGGATGAAGGTGGAAAAGTCGCAGTATTGTATATCAGTCTGTTTGTCTAGATGGCAAAGCTGGTGTGCACCATGTGCGTAATACAGGGAAGAGTGGGGAGACTGTTTAAAAAGCGCCGGGGTGCGTAATACGTGGAGCGGCCCGTAATTGTGGGTTTGGTTGATGGACGGTGAGGATTGGTTGATCTGGTGGTGGGCTAGAGACGTGGGGCCAATTGGTGCCCTTGGTGGTTTAAATGATTGGGTCCCAGACTTTTGTATCGGATATTCCGTGACAATCAATTTCATATCCTATCATCATTGTCGCTTAATGCCAATATCTAAAAAAATATATAATTAAATAAATAAAATAGTAGCTCAAAAAATAATTAAGACAGAGCAATAATTTTATATGTCCTGAATTCGAATATTAATAATTTTTTGGGGTCAAATTATGAAAAAATTTTATCTCTTATAAATACTTTAGTTTTGGCGCATATGACCTATTTTTGACCGGACCAAAAAAAAATTAGTCGAAAATGCGTAAGTTAACTCAAAAATTATTGGCCAATGAAAAAAAAAATTCATTTTTTTTAAGGGAGGTGTTCACTTGATTACATATAGTGGTAATTATTTAATTGTGTGAGATTGACTTATTTATATGTTATTGTTTAATTCAATCATAATATCGTATGTCATTAATGACATAACGTAACTGTTGTATTAAATATTTTCTCTTATTTCGGGCCGTGAATACACTCATTTGTCAATTTTAGACATCGATCATGAACTTGGTATAAAATTAATGAATTTAAATGTTGTCTTGTTAAATTTGACTTGAATAAAGGCGCATAAATTCCCGAAATTTGACTTCTTCACAATTTTTTAAAAATAACATCAATTCTTTGAATATAATTTATACATGATTTATAAGTGTTAAAAACCAAATTATAAATAGAGGGAATATAAATTAAATAAATTTTAATACAACACAAAATATGCAAAATTTAAACTTAGACACAATACCATCTATTGACAAACCTACCGAGAAGCCAGAGAACAGTGGCTTGTTCGTTTGTGCCTATGTGTGCGTGAGTGTGACCACGTCTTTTTAAGTTTATATTTGCGAGGACATTTTTTTTTTTTTTAAATCTTTACTGACACTCTTTGTCCAATTAAAAATGTTAACTATAATATAATTTTATTAAATTGTCTATGATATATTTTAAAAAAAAACTTCACCCACATCTTTTTTAGATATGCATATCTTCAATGAGACCCCTTTTATTTTTTAAATTTTTTTACGCATTAAAATTCTGGTTAATTAAAATTCGATTCGAGTTAATTAAAATTTATTTTTTATGTATTAAAACTTGTGTCTATTAAAAATTATATTTTTCTTGTTCGTTTGTGCCTATGTGTGCGTGAGTGTGACCACGTCTTTTTAAGTTTATATTTGCAAGGACATTTTTTTTTTTTTAAATCTTTACTGACACTCTTTGTCCAATTAAAAATGTTAAGTATAATATAATTTTACTAAATTGTCTATGATATATTTTAAAAAAAAACTTCACTCACATCCTTTTTAGATATGCATATCTTCAATGAGACCCCTTTTATTTTTTAAATTTTTTTACGTATTAAAATTCTGGTTAATTAAAATTCGATTCAAGTTAATTAAAATTTATTTTTTATGTATTAAAACTTGTGTCTATTAAAAATTATATTTTTTTACGTATTAAAATTTGAATGGATTAAAATTTATTTTTCTACATATTAAAATTCGAGTTGATTAAAATTTATTTATTTTTGATTAAAATCTCGTATTATAGATAATTTTTTTTTTGTTAGAAACTGTGGTTTAAAGATAGAGGGTATCAGTGATGTTTCGAATAATAGAGGGACATACTTGAAGATATGATAAATTAGAATATGTGTGACTGAAATTTTTTCAAGATGGAATTAGATAATTAATTTTCATCTAATCCATAAAATATTGTTAATATCTTAATATAATAAGTTTGGATCAAGATTGAGACAATATATAAATCTATAATTAAAATACTAAATTTATGTTTGAATTAAGTAATAGTGTACAATATTAAATTAAAAATGATAAAACAAATATTAAGGGTAAGAATTTAAATAATGTATAAACATTTTATATGAAAGTGTGACTCTAAGTTTGCAAGGATAATAAAATCATTGTATTTTTAATATTTAACTTGTTAAAAATAATACCACCTACTACCATGTCGAAATTAATTAAAATTAATATTGGGTCGTTATAACATCATCTAAATTTAGTATTAAATTATTATCGAATTAAATCCACATTTTAAAACTTAAACCAAGCACAACCTCCTCAATTCCAATAGATTATTTAAATTACTTTAATAGATTTTTGTTCCAAAAAAGAGTGAGATTTTATGTAATATTAGATATTGCACATATTGCACATGAATATAGTTGAATTTATATTTATCATAGATATATAGGTTAATTTATTTAGAACTAGAATATTATCAAAAATTGCCTCAAAAATGTGATTTTTGTAATTTATGGGTCTTATTTTATAGTTTAATTGTAAATATGGTAAAATATATTGGCCACGTACCTACGTATACCTATCATAACAATCTCCTCTTTCAAAGTTTGAAGATAATAAATGATCAAACTAATTTGGTCTAGTCTAATTGGTAACCCTTCGATCTCTTAAGACTAAATCAGAAAAGAGGTCAAGCAGACAATTCTTTCCAAATGTATGACTTAATTTTTTATGTCGCCTTTTTTTAGGATTCTATTATGTCCTCTTTCAAATTTTTCTTTAACTTTGTAAATTTTTTGTTCTTTTATATAGGTGCATTGTACTAAACCTATAATATTGATTTACCAATGCATACTCTTATTAAATGAGTACACAATTTTATTTATTAACCATATTTTTTAATGTGGAATTATCACTTGATACATTAGTACATATGTGTGTTGCACATGGATAAATTTAATTTATAGTGGTAATGCTATTTTTTTTATCATTATGTTGAAATAATTAAATATACACCTACGAATCAAAATATATGCCTTTGATACTTGTTATCTGGATATATTATATGTTGCTATGTATTCCAACCACAATAATCTTCTAAGAAGGTAGACAACATGTTAAATTGATTACTTCAACATTGATTGATCAACCCATGAATATTAGAAGGCTAATTGAGACTATACGTTTTTATGTGATAAATCTATTATACTTGCTAAGAGTACATAATCATGGGTTGCATGAATCACAATGATATAAACTTTACAAGAGAAAAATCTGATAAAATCACCACAAAATATATTATATTTTTATAATAGAACACATGATATACAAGATAATCGAGTAAATTATCATAACCATCCTTCAAATATAGATCAAGAGCAAGCTATAGTTTTAAGTTCCATGCAAACTAATAGATAAAAGACTTGCATGTTTCAATTGTAACATTTATTCTGAGGGATTAGAATTTTGGGAATTCCCCCGGACTAACTTATCTCTAGTTAAAGAAATTTAATTCTAAATTCATTGTTAAATTTATCTAAATATATAAGATATTAGTAACTTATGAAAAGTTCAAAAGTCAGATTTTTAAAAGGTTTGACTTCGTATAAATTTCATAAGTCATTGTTATAACCTGATATTTACTTTCAAGAACTCTTAGGATTTGTTTGCACTATTTCTAGAATATATAAGGTCTACAAGTTAGATAAGTTGCAACACATATTAGACCAACGAAATTTTTTTTTTTTTTTTTTCTATTAGTGACTTTTATTAATTGTATATTAATAATCATTGAATTTGTAGGTTTTTTTAAGGGCACACACAAGGTCAATTTTTTATGATTTAAGCCATAAGTGTTTATATATTTATTTAAGGACAAAATAAGAACTCAAAAGTTTTAAATGAAATGATTAGTGTGAGGTATAATTGTCCTTATAATTTTGTGTAAAGGTAGAAGAAGAATTTAAAAGTATTTCATCTAAAGTACTTTTATTGGTAGTATATATATTTTTTCTATTTTTTTCCTTAATGTGAATTCAAGTGAGACTTTCCACACAAGTCATTCCTTCACTAATTAATAACACATCTAATTTTCACTCATCCATCATAATTAGTAACATATTATTTAAATACAATGAATTTCACGTGAAGCTCATTTGAAGGCAATCTAAAAATAAATAAATAATTTTTTTTCATTGAACAGTTTAAAAAACCTTACCTAAATTTGAATATATTGAAAATTATAATTAAATAATTTAATGTATTATATTACG